CATTTTTAGAATGCATACCTTGAATACTTATTATTATTTCACCACTGCACATCACTTTACTTCTGATGGTGTACTTGTGTCTCCTTCAGTGTGGTGTGGTACCATCTCTGCTTTTCAATCAATCAATCAAAACCTTTATCTATTCTTGAAAGGACATTGAGGATTCCCTCATATCCAATGCCCTCGAGATTACAGGCACCTTAAAACAAACAAAATAAAAACCAAACACTTAGAATCAATTACAAAAAAAACACTTAGATCTATTTTTAAAAAGTCACAATTCCAAACAAAGTGGCTTGAAATCAAATTCCTAAATTCTGCAAGACATGAACCGTGTCTTTTCTGTTGTTGTATTTCTGATGTAGTCCTCTGTGTTTCTGCTCTGTCTTGACGTCGGCCGTAGATTAAACTACCTTTGGAATAATAATACACCTGAAGTAGATTCACCTTGAACAAAAGGTTTTTCATGGTTACTGATATTAATGTTCTCTTTTATCATTCTGTGCCTGCTGATCTCGGTTTGAGGAGCTTAAAACATATTATCATGCTATGATGGATACCTCCCAGGTGAACAGCTTTAAACAACAGTAAAGCATGTTTTGTTACAGTTTTATTCGGTAAAGTTAAGTTTAGTACGTTTTTGGCAACAATCACAACATTTGAAACGTTTGTTTTTTTTTACATCTTTTAGCACTTTACTTGGGAAGAAAAATGCCTAACAACATCCCAATATGCATCACAATAGATATATATATATGTATATATAATATATATATATACATTATATATATTAAAAACATCCAATAAATATGCATTTTAGGTCACAACAATCTGAAAATAAAGCGCACAATACCCCAGAGGGGCGAAATAACACCGAGCAGACTCAAAGAACTCAACATTTTGCACTTTTGTTCTTCAAACTGTAGCAGTCTGCTGCTTTTGTTTCCCAGCGGCTGTCGCAGGTCAGAAGGTAGTTTATTTATTACATGCGAGAGTGTGAGGTAGGTGTGTGTGTGTGTGTGTGTGTGTGTGGGTGTCATAATGTTGCAGATAAAGTGCTGATACGGCTGTGGCTGACTCTAACAACACCAGGGAGACGGATGGAGAGAAAGAGAAAAGAGGAGTAAGGATGGATGGATGGATGGATGGATGGAGTGTGTATAGGAACAATTTGTTGTGGCAACTTTAGATGAACCCATAATTTGTCAGAGTGAGCGTGAGAGAAAGGGCAGTATGGATGGAAAGTGGAGGATTTGCTGGCAGCGCTCTCTTAGTCAGCAGCAGAGCCACAAAACATGATGAAAAATGCTGCTGTGATAGTGTGTGTGTGTGTGTGTGTGTGTGTACAACCTGCCATGAACACAGCGCTCACAGAGAGGCAAGGGTGACATCTAGAGGTTGGTTATGTGAAGGGATCTTTCTCTGCATCAGCTCTAATCTACTATATGTGAATGTTGCCACAATATGAGATCTTCCAAACGTTCTGATTTGATCATCTGTAATCTCAGTTAATTCTGTATTTTTCATACAGAATATTTTACCTTTTAATGTCTTTCTATTCTAAACTTGGTTTTGCTTTAACACCTGTGTTTGTGTAAATGTTTGTTCAGCTTTTAACTTGAGATGTTTTGGCAGAATTTCTTCCCTGAAACGTTGATGCCAATAAAAAGTTTGAGTTGGAAAAACTTGACTGAACATTTTAATACACCTTCATGTTGGTTAACAAGAGTTCCTGCTGAATTTTGAGGGACTTGAATTATTTTCTTTTACTTTTATCTTTCTAGTTTTCTCAGATGTTCCTTGATTGTCTTTGAAATACTTTTCTCCTCTGAAGGTTTTTAATGAACCTGGAAATGAAAGCTTGGGGAGGAAAGATCGCTCCTTGGCTGACCTGCTGACATATTTGATTTTTAGGGGTCATTACCGCCAGAAAGGTCAACATTTTTAAAGATGGACAGAGACTAACACTGACCCCAAGGACCCGTAACTGCATCCAGTTAAGGTGCTGAGTAGACTATTGTTAAGTTGATGCATTTATCTATGAAATAAGAAAATGGTCATAGAGACAGGACGGATGTTCAGTGCTTTTCTTCTCCTGAGCGCACAGCCAGCCTTTTTCTGCCCTGGAAAAATGGCTAGATGAACACAGGATCTCAAGATGTGACAGTGAGGCCACCAAGTGATGTCAGCTAACTCTGCGTGGATTGACCGATTTAGCATCTTCAAGCCCGTTGTTTTGGGTTGAAAGCCTTACTGACGTGTACTTAAATTAATCAGGGGGCTGGCAGGAATCATTTTGGGTAAAGTCAGATTGAAAATTATAGGCTGTTTTTGGGATAACACATGCAGCTTATCCTGCAAGAAGAATTGTGGATTTTGTGGCTCTTTCACAGGAATCACGACATTTCAACCTGCAAATGACCAAAATCAGCACCAACTACTTCTATCTGCCCTGCTGGGTTATTTTAATCTTCATGCTGGAGCTCGGAGACACTAAGTAAACAGTCGGGACTTCTGGCAGATATCAATCAAGCGAGTCTGTTTATGAGCTTCTTTTTAAAAACTCAATGACCAGTGAGAGGAAGCAGCACATGGAACTCAGACTTTCTCTTTTATTTTGTGTAAACACATCAGCGTGATTAAATATGATCATCTCATCTTCTAATGAGCTCACATCAAAGAGCGTCTCTGCTGTCAGTCACAAGAGGACGACGGAGTGAATCATAACCAGACCGAGAGAGTTACCCCACTTCAGTTTATCTCACAGAAAAAACAATCAGGCCCGACACTTATATGAACAAACACTTTATTATAACATGCTTTAGTATTTCATCAACCTGAACATTATTATGAAAAGGCCTCAACCGACACACACACACACACACGTGTATCAATGCACACACACACACATATTTAAAGACGCAAAGGAGTTCCATATTTAGACACATTACGGTATATAAAAGACATTATTAATGCTGGGAAAAATTACAATTGAAGCCCTCACACAGTAGAGATGCACTTTGGAGGAGCGGTGTCGACATGCAGATTGTGTCTCAGATAGCTTTGGTTTGTCGAGTTAACAGAAAGTGAAGCCTGAGAATAAAGGTTATAAAGTATTCAAGTGAAATGTCTGACACATCTCAATCTGCTTTTTGTTTGGCTGATTTCATTACTTAGTTTTCTTCATTAGCAGCTCAGCTAACCTTTAACAGATACTGACTCAAACATTAGTCTTCATTTCACAACTTTCCCTCCATCTTTAGTCATTAGTATCTGGGTCAGCACAAAAAAGGGATAAAGTCCCGCAGTGTGACCCTTATTGGGGAATAGGGATGATTATTTTTTATTTATAAGAATACCCTCATCCATACTCATTAACAATGTGAGACTTTATTCATACTTTTCTATTATGTGGTGAAAAGACGAGATAACAAAATGTTTTTTTTAAAAAGAACTTGTATGTGGATTTTATATTGCATGAAAACAAGAACAAATTCTCCTCTAAACAAATATGTATTCAAGTTTTTCTTGTGTTTAATTTTTATTCTCGACACTGATGTGCTCGTTGTCTGGTAATCTTATTTTTCTTCAAAAAGCTTTATGAGACAATCGATGTTTGTTTGTGAATCAGTGATTTGATTTTAAAGACGTCCCTTGACTCAATCGCAGGGAGCTCAAATGTTACAGATTTTAAGGTTTAAAAAATGTCAGACTTTAAAGGAGTGTTAATGTGTCAATTTCAAGTTTGTCTATGATGACGACATGGTAACACGTCTTTCCTGAGTATCAAACATCAATCATTTCTGCTGACGATCTAAACTCTGTCTGTGTCAGCGAGAGGGTCAAAGATTTCATGAATTAAAATAATTTTTACTTATTTCAGAATGAGTTTTTTTTATCCATGTTCTTCACCGACAGCTTTGAAAAAAAGACTACTTCTGTCTCAGGCTCATATGTTAATAGTCAGTATCAAGAAATGCACTCTATGGTCTAAGTATCATCACCAACACTCAGGTGTTAATCTGGCACCTGAATCAAACGTTTACTTGTTCCTGTATTACAGAGAACGCATGGCTGTTAAAGTTTAACTCAACCAATGAGGTTTGTTTCTGCAGTTCTGCCTGCTGTCAACACCGGACTATGATTTCAAGGCTGACATGACAACACACTGCTAGTCCACATAAATAAATATCTGTTTAACTCTAATCGACCTGTAAAAGATCTGATGATAAAAGTCTGTCCTTGTGAACAACTAGGACTGAGTCAGTAATCCTGAGTGATCACCAGTCTGTCCTTTTAAAGCTGACCTCTGTTCCTATGCATCACATCGTTTATTGTTTTTGTTTCACAGAACATGATGACACTTTTATGATGTTTATGATGCTTTTCCTTGTAACATAATTTATCCAATGAGTGAAAATCTAAAAATATCAGTAACTTTGAAGCAATTTCAAAAACAGGAGAAAAAAAACAGTACATTTTTTCAATTTAAATAAACATTTTAAACTGTTTTCTTTGGTGGAGCTTCTGTTTAAATATCTGCAGTTTAAAGGTCACATATTCTCCTCCTCTTCAATCAGTTTAAAGAAGTCTCAGAGCTCCTCAAAACATGTGTGTGAAGTTTCTTGTTCTAAATCCACTCTGATTCTGTATTTGATCACGTCTATAAACCCCTCTATTTCAGCCCTGCTCAGAACAGGCTGTTTCTGTGTTTGTACCTTTAAATATGTAAATGAGCTGTGTCTGACCACGCCCCCTCTCTGGAAGGGCTTGGGTGGCTCGGGCTTTCTCGCTCCATGTCCTATTGTTTACGGTGAGAAGGCAGACTCAGAGGGCAGAACAAACACCTAGCTGTGGGAGTGTCACCCACCTAGGGGAGGGGTTACTGCCCTTTGTGACGTCATGAAGGGAAAATCTCCAAACGGCCTGTTTGAGCACACATTTTCTGAAAAGAGGAGCAGGTAAAAGATGGACAGGATGGACTTTTCTCATCATTGGGGGGTTTGTAGACAGATTAGGGACAGGTATTTAAAAAACATGTTGAATTGTATTTGGCATAATATGTGACCTTTAAATGGAGTTTGGCAACTTTTTTTTGACACTTGTTTTAAACCCTGTAGCTTCATCTCCACTGTGTAAACTGGAGTGTTTGTTTTTTCTTTAAAGCTTGAACCAGGGTGGTTTAAAGCCGACTTTGACACCTGGTGGAAGATTTTCTTCAAGTAGTTTAGAGTCTGTGGCAACTTCAGCTAAGATATATAAACTATTTCTTTCATGGAGTGCAAAAGAAAAACTTTTTTGACTGTAAGCATAAATACAAAAAACCCAACAGATCCTTTTGTCCACCAGTTTCAGCAACATTTGTTTCATAAAAATCAAAGACAAATAGTGAAAAACAGAGAAAACAGAGTTAGGTCCACACCACATTGCATGAATAAATAGATTAAAGTGCTCAGACAAAAGAGAGGCGAGACTAACAGATAGTCGAGAGGCAGAATAAAGCTTGGATGAAGAATTAAAAAAAAGCAGATGAGAAGACAAAGCACGCCGAGTGTTAGAGGATCCATATCAAACACAATGAAGAGTGGACGCTCTCCTCAAAGGAGTTGGCAGGTTCACAAGCTCTCACAACAAGCTGCTCGTAGCAAAAGGTCAGATATTCACAATGAGCCAAAGAAAAGCTTTGAGACACAGCTTCAAAAAGCTCCACTCTCTCACTCATCCCCCGGTTTCATCAACATGTAGAAAAGCTTTTTTGTTTTTTTTTAGTAGAAGAGTCATTGGAAGAAAAAGGAGAAAGAGGAGAGGAGAAAGAGAAGTTGAAGAACGAGTAAATAAAGCCGTCTCCAGATGGAAACTCAAAAAGTTTCACCTCTCATAGAAAAGCATTTCGTTGGCAAAACGTAGATGCAGGTGAAAAGATTCAAACCCTCTCAGTCCCTTATAAAGAGGTCGGTGAATTAGAGGCGAGCGGCGACTGCTTTCTGAGTGGGGAGTTTTCCTCCTAAACAAAAAGAGAAAATTGAGATTTGTTTAAAGAGCCAGGAGAGAAAATAAAAACACTGTTTATTCCAGCAGGGTGGTTTTTTTTTTTAGTGCAGCTGACATGTTACTCACCTAAAGTGTCTTCCAATGAGTTCACCATCACCTTGTTCACCTTTAAAGTCCCCTGCTCCACTCTGAAGTCAAAACATGGCAGCACAACGTTATTTTACAGCACAAAGGCAAAACAAGGAAAACATAGTTTGAGGGCAAACTCTTTGTTTTCACATCTGCACTCCTGAAAATATCTAGATAATTCAGGAGGACTGCTCCAGAGATTCTCCTGACCTGGCTGTTCACATATGCTCCTCACAGCTGGAGACTAAAAACAAAAAATTACTGGAAGGCTGGAAGGAGAAACTCCAGATGAGTTTGCGTTCACACATACAGCTTACCTTTACAAGTTCAGGAGACTTTTTAGAGTTTTAGATGAATGTGAAAACACTATTTGTTTAATGCTAGTTGGAGTGTAGTTGTTAGTGTGTCAAACAGGCACACACATGTGATCAAAACAAACGTACCCTTTGACTTTCTGAACAGCACCAAGTCTCAGCAAAGCGGCCAGAGCGTTCTTCTGGAGGTCAGAGGACAACACCTCTGTGTATCTTAGTCGACCTGGAGAACACACAGGTACACAACACACAGTTAGTACAAACACTTTTAAAGTTCAAACAGAGGCGTGAGTGATTTGACAAATGAGAGAAAAAAACCTGCAAGGAGAAGTGTGATGATGAACTTCCGGACCGCAGGAACAAACTGTTTTTCAGTCAGATTGTCGGAGGCTTCCTCACACAGGAACCTGCACACCACCTGAGATCACACACATACACAAGCACGCACAAAATTTGCAGAAAAAAAATGCCAAGTTTAAATTTGCAAATATGTTCTTCTTTTATCTGTAACTGAACCCTAATGTGCACGTTCAACTCAGGACACTCGGTACATTTAAGTCTGTCTTGTGTCCTGTGTGTATCTCACCTGGTATCCCTGTAAGAAAGGATCTAACATGTTGGTGAGGAAGGCCACAGTTCTCTGTCCGCTCGTTGTAACCACAACCTCCTGCTGGGTGACCTGCAGAGCGCCCGTCTTCATCAGCAGGTAACACGCCTCCTCAAAGTCCTACCAGACAGGAGAGGAATATCAGACCCAAACCAGACGGGAGTGAAGTAATGCAATGATTACATTCTCCAGTGGTGCTCCTCACCTGCACTGTATCTCCAGGACAGAGGATGAACTCGTTGGAGAACATGTTCCTCAGGAAGCTGAAACTATTGAAGACCTCCTCTGCAAACAAATAGACAAAATTAACATTATTTTATTTATTTCTTAAAGATTATTTTCAAGAAAGTCAAGCAAACAGTCAAGAAAGCGATGTAAACCATGTAACACCCAAATTACTTCACCTGTGATGTTCTCCTTTCTTATTTAAGCCCTCTCTGCATGTTAAATCATTCCAATAAAATATGATAGAAGTGCTTCAGTGTCAGTCTTACGTTTGCAGTTGGAGGAGGCGGTGTGGATGGCAGAGGCCAGCAGGGCCGGTCTGAGGAAGACGTGCAGCGCCTGGTTCCTGTAGGAGACACAGGACAGAATGACGACTGCCTGGCTCAAGAGCGCCTCCTCTGGAGTGACGGAGATTTGAGGCTCTTTGATGCCTCCTGCTTCTGCTTCTGCTGCAAGACAAAGTTTAAAGAATAATAAGGTTTTATCCCTTTTCACAGGAAATGTGCATCGTATGTTAGATACTCTACAAGGTAAGAACAGTGAGGAGTCTTCATGTAGTCTGCAGCTCAACGCTGTAGGATTGCCATGAAATAAAAATGACTAAAGCTGGGGATACTCTCGTACAATCCACTTCAACATTTTTATACCAGTACAGAGTTTTCTAGGCCTTACAGAAATGCACTTACACTGCAAGCAACATAAAAAACTATAACCTTGTTCCACAGCCAGCTGGACTCTTCCCTCACAGATCCTCACTAGACCTTGATGCAGGGACAGACTGCTGGAAACGACCTCTGATGGAGGAGTGTGATCTGAAGGAGACAAGGAAACAAATCACAATAGAAAAAGATGCAGGAGGAAAGGAAGACTTAACATGGATAGATATGTTTCTACAAGATTATACAAATACACCTCTTTAATAGTTGAGCTTGAGGAATTGTTGACAATTCAATCTTATTTTAAATGCAAGGAATCAGTTAAGTCCACCAGTATCATTAGAATATTCTGCTCATACAGTACCTGGCCAGTGCAGGAATGCTCCGTACTCCCGGGAGAGATCTCTGAGCCACAGAGCTTGTGCAGTCAGATCCTCCAGCGTGATCCTCCCTCTCTGCGCCCCGGCTACTCTCTGGTGGTCCTGGTGGTGGTGGTTCTGCAGCAGCAAAGAGGCCAGGAGGACCCACGGCTTGAGGACCATGTTCTCCTCCTGAGCCCGCACCAGCCTATAGGCCGAGTCATTCACAAAGCTTTGGATCTCCTCGCTGGACCTCCTGGGGATGTGTCTGCAAACAAAAGAGGTTATAGTTAGTGTAGTAACTGTTTTTGAATTTTCAGCTGCATCTCAAACATCCAAACACAGACTTAAACTACATTAAGTCAAGGTAGAAAATGATCACAGACATGGTTCACACTGACCAAAGAGCAACTAGCAACAGGATGCTGATATCAGATCCCAAAGTGAGATGCGTTTGTGTCCTTTAAACACACAGCTCAGTGTTGATTAATCGTACCTTGGTTCCAGGTTGAACTGGCAGCGGTTAACTTTCCCCTGTGCTAAACTTCTGATGGACACAGGCTGACCAAAGTACACGTGGATGCTGCCGTAGTCTTCACTCAGGACCTTCCTGGCTTTAAACAGACCCTGCAAAAGGAGAGATAAAGACGTAGATGGAGTGATGGGGCTGAATATTCACTAAAAGACATATTTAACTGATGTGTTGCAAAGTGAAAAAGAAAATGTGTTTGAAAGACTCACTGAGGTGGACTCCTTCGGTTTGGGAACACCGAGCAGCTCTCGGGCATAAAGCGACTCCTCCAGGATCCTCTCATAGCTGATGCTTACAGGGACCAGGTTCATATCAAACACCTCCCCTTTAAGGAACGGATCCATGACTATATTCAGCAGACCTGAAGAGGACGGAAACATGTGTGACAAAAAAAAAAAAACATTGCACCCGGGGCAAATAAGAGAATTTGCAGAATGATGTAGATGTGTGTGAAAAAATGTACTTGGATATTTAGACTTTGGACTCTAAATTGCTTGTAAGCGTGAATGTGAGTATGCTTGGTTGTTTGTCTTTTTATGTCCAGTCCAGGGTGTACCCCGCTTATCGTCCAATGACAGCTGAGATCCACTCCAGCCCCCCAAGATTAGTGGTACAGATTATGGGTGGGTTGATGGATTTTAACTTTGCTTGTTTGAAAAGATGCTGTGATTAAGTTAATTTACAAAACGTTCATTATGAAGCATGTATCTAAAAACAGAATTATTTGTCAGACAGACTAGAGAGGATTAAGACACAGGATCTGATCTCACTACAGATATTTGGCAGCTTGTTAAAAAATAATTTTGCTTTTCTGTGTTGAGCTAGAAGAGATTTTATTTGACTTTTAATTGTAACTCACCTAATTTTGGAGTCAGAGATTTGGACGTTCTGCTTCTGGTTCCCTCTAAGAAAAACTCAACCGGTGCAAATCCAGTCTGAAGAGAAATAAACAAAATAAAATAAAACAACTTCTTCTACATCTACCAGATATAGAAATAATGATATGACTGAAACTGTTTGCAAAGTGTTCATTCTTTCTTCTTTTGTTCCAAGAGGAGCATTAAAAATGTGACCGTATGATAAAAGCAGCCTCCTCACCTTCAGCATGGTCCTGACGTACTCTGAGAAGACGGCCCAGTACACTTTGTCTCCGCCAAACGACCTCCGAATGAAGAAAGCTCCCGACATCCGCAGCATCTCCCCGACAAATTTCATCCCCATGAAGTCTGAAAGGACAGACAAACTGAAGCTGTATGTGCAGACACAGATCGTTGGGGGGAAGCATTATACAGAATGATCTACTCAAATATTCAGCCCCTAATTCAATTTAACACTTCATTAAAAATGTCTAAATAAATCCCATTGGCAAAAAAAAATTATAATGTGTACCTCTCTGACAAATTAAAGATAAAAACTGAGTTATTAAACGGATGTATTCATGCGTCCTTGTGCCCCACGTTGTTGTAACTCGATGGTTACTCTGTTCTTTTTAGTGCTTACCCATGCCTGCAGCGATGACGGGCAGAGCCAGGTCGTAGGTGTACAGGAGGTATGACATCAGCAGGAAGTCCATGTAACTACGGTGGCTGGGTAACAGAACGACCGGGTGTTCGTGAATGGCCTGCTGGAGCTACGAAACAAACAAACAAACAAACAAACAAACAAAGATTTATTTTCTTGTTTAACAGTCATTCTGGGATATTTTTTCTAAATGTGGGTCTAGCAGGTGTGCGTCCTCTCACCCTCTGGATGCCCTCTTCGTTGACGCGGATGCTCCTGAACAAGGTTTTGAACACCTTGCTGAGGACGAAGGCGAAAAAGCGAACGGTGCTGAGCTGCAGACACTGAGCCATCTCGTCCAAGATGGCCGACGCCTCGTCCTTCAGGTCATCAGCGGCTCTGCCCGTCTCTTTGGACACCTGGACAATTAAAATGTTACCAAGTCAGGTCAAAACTGTGTAATATGATGGAAACGTATTGACAACGGACAAAACTTTCTGTAGCGATTGTCGTATTTTGAAAAACACTCACAGTTAAATACTTGATTTTAAAAAGTCTGAACCGACTTCAATTTGATTTTAATCTTTAAACTTACAGCATGAAAAGTTTTCATGTGAGCTGATTAATGTCTCAAAACTTGTCTTTAAGTGTTAAGTACGATACGATACACAAGTGAGTATCAGTGGTGAAGATATCATCATCATCTTCAAAATAATTATCATTATTTGCAGATGATACTCATTTATTTGTCTCCAATAAAAATTGTCAGAACTCATGAATGAAGTGAATAATGGCCTTCTTGCATATTCAAAATGGTTTAAAACAAATAAGTTGGCATTAAATGTGAAAAAAATCTAACTTCATGATATTTGCTGGAAAATTTAAATATAACTGAAATTGTATATAAATGATGAAGAAATGACTAAAGTAACATCAACAAGATTCTTAGGATCTTAATTGATGAGAAACTTACATGGAAAGATCACATCATCTGTGTCTGAAGTAAGGTTACAAAATCTCTGGGGATTATTAGTGTGTGAATGTGTGTTTTTTTGACACTCTTCTTGTATCTCAACATTATATTACAGCCTAATATATCCGTATCTTACTTATTGTAATATTGTATGGGCCAGCACTTTCCAAACATGTCTTCATAACATTATATTACTCCAGAAACATTTTGTCAGAATGGCAACTTTTTCCAACTCCTGTGATGCAACCTCCCCTCTTCTTCTGAAGTGTAACATATTGACAATCTTTGATATTAATATTCTTCAAATAAGTAGCTTTATTTTTAAAGTTAAATACATGAGTGCAAACTTGCCAGAAAGCTTTAAAGCATTTTTATTTTTAATTCTCAAGTGAACTTTTACTCAACTAGACAAACCAATAACCTCACCTACCAATGTGTCGTACATCTCGAGGACTCAATAAGATACCGTGGAGTCAAGTTATGGAACAGGCATATTTATTTACTTGATGATTTTTTTGTCTTTTTCTAGATACAAGTTGAGACTCAGAAATGTTGATGTCAGAAAGATTTTAGTGAATAGTGAATTGTCCTGATTTTGTTATAGTGTCTACATACTGTAATGTCCTGTTTTGCTCTATTTTTATGTTTTCAATGTTTGTATGTAACTTTCAATTGGGGTAAATTTTATTTGTAATAGTAAATATTCTTTGTTATTCTTTTACTGTATTTTATTTTAACTTTGTTTAATCTCTTAAGGTGAGGTTTTGAGATAAGCCCTCATGGGTTTCTACGTCACCTGCACATGTGTTTTATTTTTATTTGTTTTAATTTTCTGTTTGACTCTTCAAAAAATGTGCAAATAAACTAAAACTAAACTAAACAGAAAAACAGTTATAACCACGTCTTGTCTCAGCTAACCTGCCAACGTTTGACTGAAAATGCGAGAACACATTTATCCGGTATAACCAGAATGACGACCTGAGGATCTGTCAGCCCCCCCTCCCCCATTTGACCTGCCTGATGACTTAGTGTTACCTGATTGATGACAAAGTGCAGCTGATCGGACTGCAGCACCATCCCCTTCAGCATGCTGGAATCACAGGGCGTCACTTCTTTGTAAAGAACAGGCGTGTAACATCGGAGCGCGTATCTCAGGTCACTGGAGTTCCTCCTCTCCTCCAGAATGTCCTCAAAGTCATCTCTTTTCTTCAGCATGGGATCTCTATGCTGTGGGACACAAAACATCATTCTCTGTAACAATGAGACATAAAGTATGACAATCATCTCGACTCTTTGATTTTCTTATTATTCATATGTATTTAACTGTCCACTGCAGACGACTCGTACTGTCAAATTCCATCCAGTCATTTTTATTTTACTTTTAGTAAGTTCAACAAGGATCTAAGAGGTTGAAAATTCATTGGATCTGCAGAGTCCCCTGCACCTTTAAGAAAAAGCTAAAGACCCAGCTCTTTCATGAATACCTACTAACTTAATGATGATGGTCTCCATATTATTGATGATGATGATGGTAATGACGATGGTTTTTGTTTGATAACGACGACTTATAAGATGGTTTCTATACTGATTAGAGCTCTCAAGAACTGCCCTCAATGTTGTGCTTTGCCTCTGGTCACTTCCTGTCAGCACCTGTGTGTCCAATCAGACTCAAAGCTGATCGTTTGCTCTTACTGACATTGTTCCCTTTTTTCTAGATCCTTGCTTGTGTTGTTCTTACTCTCTGATGTACGTCGCTTTGGATAAAAGCGTCTGCTAAGTGGATTGTAGACATAGACTGTAAATATTAATGTTTGAAGCCTGAGTGACGTCAGCCGTCTGTTCCTGCAGGGGGCGCTCTGGAGGATCATCAGCAGCCGCCGCCATGTTGGAAATCCTGTCTCAACCTAACTTTCAGTCAACCTAACGACAGGCTGAGCGATGAGGCGGGTTTTAAACCTCTTGACGAACGTTACATCACGCTCACCTGTCAATCATGTCAGCTACTCGCCTAACTATGGATAACACATATCATTCATCAAATCAAAACAGAGTCATTTAATAATAATTCACACTCGTACAGTGTGTTCCCATGATGACACTAAAGATTATAAACTAAACTAATCAGACATATTCAGTTTTTTTTTGTACTTTAAACATTTCATTTAAAGAGACACACACACCAAAACGGAGCGTTCTGAGAGAGCTGGTTGATACAGGGTCACAAACCTCCTCTGGTGCTTGATTCATGTTATATTTTGACCAAGCACAGCACAGATGTTTCATTTAGACCACAGGGGGACTGTTTGAAAAAGGTGGAGGAGGGGACTGTTTGAAAAGGTGGAGAAGGAGGATAAAATGTCCTCTTTTACTGAATCAGAGAGCATGAGACGAACAACAGACACAAAACCAGGATGCTTCACACTTTAACATTGTGACAAACAAACTCTGCAGTAGATTAACACAAAAACAAGATGTCTTTCTGGCAGGTTACTAACATCCTGCAAGTGCTGATTGCTCAACAATCACTGAATCACTGAGCTGTCGCTTTAAATATTAAAATATACAATTTAAAAAAAGGTGAATTTTAAGTAGAAGCAGATTGTCTGGTCATTACTGACTTTATTAGTTATTGTTACTACATTAGGTTGGTATAAACTTGTTTAAATGAAATGTCACAGAGTTGATGGAGCTGCAGCAAACAGCAGAAGTTAGCTTTAGCTTAGCACTGACAGAAGAGGAACAAACAAACCGTATAAACAGCTTTAGATGTCACGCTTTGTCACGATGTACTCACACAAACACGCTGCATCCACTTCACTGAAGAGTCCTTTAGTCCTTCTTCTGATTCATAAAATCACTTGCAGCTCTAAGCAGCGTCTGGATAAACTTCACATGGGCGTGTAACCTGCTGGCGTCTCTGCGGTACTTCCGGGTTGTACGGCAGCCGGAAAGGACCAAGCCTTTGCCTTCTGTGTGTGTGTGTGTGTGTACCACGTGTTTTCACAGGTTTGTTTTCATACAGACTTTGCTGTTGCTGTCTTCGTTGACTTGAAGCCCTGAAGAAGTTATTTTTTTTCGGTAACCTGCCGCAGCCATTTACCGGAAATGAACATGAAGACAAACGGAGAAGAAGACGAGGATTGCGCGTTTCTTGAAAACGTTTTGGATAAACTGTATGACTTCGGTGAGTGTGGTTAGCATTAGCATGCTACATTGTCGTTTTGCGGGGCTCCTGGTTGCAACGTGACTATTAAAAACAATATAAAATATTTACATTGGTGTGTTAGGGAACTTAAACCCATGAAAAGTGAACGCATGCGCAAATTAAACTCGCTTTTCTACGTTCTGACGTTAATTGGCTGTCCCCATGGTTACCAAGCATTTATCGTTCTTATCGTAAATTGAAAGGAAGTGGTGCAAAAAAGTACACAACAAATTCATGACTTAAGGCAAAAGTATAAGATGCTCCTGGTTAAATGTTACTCTAATATAAGTGAACGTTAATCAGTCAAGCGATCTGATTGGACAAGAGGGATTTTATGTACACATTAAGCTTGAATTATATTGGTTAAAGTGTACAATGTGTGGTTACTTTGTAAGTGTGGTAAATAAAGAGTGCTGATGTGATGAGATGAGATTCAACTTTATTGTCATTACACAGATACAAGTACAGAGTAACGAAATGAGGTTTGGCATAAGCAAGAAACAGAAAGAATCTGCAGTGTACAAGTAATTACAAAATTTACTGATTAGACTAAAAGAAGTGAATTATTGGGTATATATGGCTGATTAATGGGATGCTATAAATATAAATAAATGCTATAAATATAAGTGTATTCTTAGGAGTGTAATATACAGATGAAGGTGCAGTGAGCATGATGTACTAGATTACAGATAATATACAGAGTGTGGACATATTGTACAGGTAGATAACTTATTGAGGTGATATGAACAAACTGTAATACAGTGGTATCCAAACTTTTTTTCTTGCGGGCTAAAATTGTCGTGTTAGAATCGCTGGCGGGCCACAGGTTTTGTTTTTTAAAATATAGTTGAAAAAATATTAAGGCTAATGTAGATCAGAATCAAAAGGCTCGCTAAAGAAACCCTTTAATAAAAGTTAATCAAATATTTTGATTTCTTCGTTCTACTTTATTTGTTTTTTTTTCTCAGAATCAAGTCTGTAACGTGGTTCATGTTTTTAAAAAAAGCTTTCTGCATTTAGCTCAGGTCATTAAATGGTTAAACAACAGTCCGCTTTGCATACGTTTTTTTTTCATAGTTTACAAAAAAATGTGGAAAATAGTAAAAGCTGTAGATTTAAAAAACAACAACAACATACATGTCACTGAACATTTTCTATTGTAGGAATATTGTTCAGCCCTTTTGTTCGGGGGGGGGGAGTTCGGGAGGGAGACAGAGTTCAGTAGAGAGACAGCTCTGGGGAAAAAGCTGTTCCTCAGTCTGCTGGTTCTGATCCGGAGGCTCCTGAAGCGTCTACCGTCGGCTGCTATAACTCAGCTACCAACCATAACTTCTCGTGAATTATTTTATCTTCCAACAGTGTTACAGGGATAAACACTTTCCTCTGAGGACAGTCTGTGTATAGAGTTATGAACATAAACAGAATCTGTACACTTCTCCAACTTTCACATTTCTCCTTCAAAACGACATAGTGCACCTTTAACATGTTGTCATTGTTGTGTAAGTTATCGACAACACCCCTGTGATAAATGTAATATCATATACCAAGATGCATTTCTCGCTCATGTTGTGCAGGTAATGGACCAGCGGCGAAAAAGAAGAGCAAGTCTCAGAAGAAGCAAAAACGAAAAAGGTGTGAGGAGGAAGAAGAAGAGGAGGAGGAAGATGTCCCCGCTGTCCAGGAAACCTGCAGTGACTCTGAAGACAACAGAACAGATCGTGTTTGTGCAGAAAACCAGCAGCAACAAACAAAAACTCAGCAAGCAGGTGGGCAGTGGACGTGTTAAAAAACAACTCTCATGTGATGGTTGTATCTTCTTTTGGCTCATTTTGTTCACAGGAATCAAGACAACAGTGAGTTACTCATGATACAATGATGTCAGTGCTATACAAGAATATATAAATGCTACATTCAGCACTTGTTTATGACCTTTCTAATGACTGTAGGCTAAATAATGCTGTCAAACCCTTCCATCTTCATCATCCACCACTCATATCTCCGCTCCTCTTTTGTTTAATGGTTTAATGCATCATTTCTTTAACAGGTCGAACTGCGCCGCAGGTGGAGGTGGTGACATTTCAGGATCCCAAAAAGAAACAGAAAACCAAGCAGACCTTAGCCCCCGAGAAACAACCTGTAAGTTGTTTCTCATTTCAAATGATCTGTACCTTAAAAATTGTGTATCCTATGAGTACGAGAACATCTGCATTTACCGGTTTTATTGTCAGACCAGGCAAATTAAAAGTCACATCTGGCGATATTATGTACCGTACATCATGCAGGGAAGTTTTTAATTGCAAAAAATGATATTGTTTTTCAAGATGAAAGATTGCGAACCGTACATTATTCGGCTAAAGAAAGGATTTTAAATGAATTGTTGTGCATTTTCATTTCTGACCTTTTTTTGTTCTTACCTTTTTGACATTTGAAAACCTCCCCTCCTCAATGGGACAGTTTGACCCCAAGTGCTCCTCTGTTTATGCTCTTCTTGTCACCATCAATCCATTTCACTTTGCCTCTCTTGTCGCCTCTGGGTGCACGCTCTCCCCACTTCCAGGCCCTTCAGATCACAGAGGAGAAGGAAAGCAGCCAGCCAGAAGAACTCAATTTGGAAAAGGTGACTGTTCTCTCACACTGACTGTATCTGACCGTGTCAAAGCATTTCTTCCTCCCTTGATGGTCATTTTCTGATTGTGTATGTGACTGTACATGAATCTTTATACTTGGACCATTTAATCTCTGTGATGTATCTGAACTTACACTGTGTATCTGTGTGTTCCCTTCAGGCTCGTCTTGAGGTCCATCGGTTTGGGATCACGGGCTATAAGAAGGAGCAGCAGCGTGGTTTTGAACAGGACAGAGCAGTGATGCTGGGCGCCAGAGTAAGGACAACCCATGTACATCTTTACTAGTGACACATTGCAAATCTCTCCCAGAGCTGAGACAAAAATACTACTTCTTCTGTTTGTAAATCAGCCTCCTAAGAAGGACTACGTCAACTACAAGGTGCTGCAGCAGCAGATTAAGGAGAAGAAGCAGAAAGTGAAGGAGGACGTTCAGCCGGTAAGAGCTGCGTGTTCACTCAGGTGTAATCCCAATGAAACTAGTCCAGCTTTACTTTGATCAAAACACGATACTTTTTGTCAGATTAAGTGTTAAACAGGATGCCAATATCGATAGGTGATTCACATTCATCTAGTTCTGTTTTTTCTTCCTGTAAAATCGTGTGTCATTGTCCTGCAGGATCTGAAGAAGAAGAAGAAACACAACAATCAAAGGTGGGTAGACTTCAAAACATATCTGTCAATAAATGACCCCTGGAATTTATAAAGTAGATATCACAGGGTAGTTGGGTTGTTGTTGTTGTCGTCATGCAAAGGCTCAAACCAACACACCATCAAATGTTTACTCCTCAAGTGTCCCCTTATCTGTGAGTGATAAAATGGGGGGTGGGGCTAAGCACAGATTGCACCCTTCAGTATAGATCATTTATAAACGACATCCCTTCTGTTTATTTTCACATCCCTCTTTTTTAATCAATCAATTTATTATATTATATATCAATCAGCATATATTATGTAAAGAGAATTGGTCCAAGCACTGAACCTTGTGGCACTCCATGGCTAACTTTGGTGTGCATAGAGGACTTATCATTAACATGTACAAACTGAGATCGGTCTGTAAGTAGGATTCAAACCAACTTAAAGCAGTCCCTGTAACTCCAAGTAAATGTTCTAGTCTGTATAATAGGATCTGATGGTCAATGGTGTCAAAAGCAGCACTAAGATCTAACAAGACGAGCACAGACAGAAGTCCCCTGTCTAGAAGTAGATCGTTTGTAACTTTAACTAGTGCAGTCTCAGTGCTATGGTGGACTCCTGACTCCTGGTGAAACTCCTCAAATAAACTGTTGTCATGGAGAAAGTCACACAAAGAAGTTCCTAATAAACAAACATTTATAGAGACTGTGTGGTTTTCGTCTCACTGGTTGAAACCTGTTTGTGTCTGTGTGGTTTTCTCCATCAGGGACAAGAATAAGAAGGTGTCTTCTGGTTCAGGGACGGCGCCCTCGGGTCAAGTGGGCCGCTTCAAGAACGGCATGCTGGTCCTCAGCTCCAAGGAGATCCAGAAGATCAAAGGCAACAAGAGGAGGAAATAAGTGTGTGTGAGATCTTTTACCTCAGAGCAATTCTCAAAGAAGACAGAAATCTGACCGGTCATCTGTTGGGACTTTTAAGAAAGTGAAGTAAATGAAGGTTTAATATTTAGTGATGAGGCTGAAGGTGAAAGGTCAAACCCTGGTCTGCAGTGTTACGAGGAGGAGGAGGACATGAGCTGAAAACCACCTGAGCTTATCTCTAGAGGACCGGTGAAATATGGGACAAACTGCTGAGTCATGAATCCAATGTATTGATCTCTGAAATGGACCCTGAATGCAACTTCTGGCAGAATATAAAGGCACAAAACAGGAGAGAGAGAGAAATCATCATTCCATCACAGTTAATTTATTTGTTTTTATAAATGACAAAAACAACCCCACAAAAAAAAAAAAAAAAGACATTTGCGTCTCTCGTGTTTACACTGTAAAGGTCTGAAAATGATGCAGTTACAATGCATTTCTCATATACAAACCATGTAGTCGTACAAAACAGTTACATTTACATCAGCAAGAAGGGGGGGGAGGAGGGGGGTCATTACAAGAGCAGGTGGAGGGCGGGGAAGTAATAATAAAAAATAAAAAAAAGGACACACAAGAAAAGTCTTGGTTGAAGGGAACACACATACGTCTATCTAAATGTATGGAAGCCCTGAGCAGACATACATCCCAAACAGTGTTTAACTTTGTTTTAACGTGATAACAAATACGTTTCGGTCGTTCTCTCGAGCTCTCTGCTTAATTAGGTTGTGATATCAAGATAGCAGCGCTGGTTTCCCGTGTTATTTTTTTAAGATCTTGAGTAAACAACTGAAATGTACTCGTTGGCACAACTACACCCCGACGTCCCTGACACCCAGCCACCACCATCGGACTGTGTCGTCCCCACAAACACCGCCGTCCTCATTCATGCACGGCCTTCTCCGACCTCCGCCTCAACAGCAAAGGAAGCGAGGACAACAGGAACGCGAGGAATTTTGTAAAGCGCCTCCAGATAACACTTGTTATGAATTGGCACCATAAAAATAATGATTAATCACAGGAAAACAGAGTCAAATAAAAAGTATGGCTGCATGTCCTCTTAGGGCTTCTGTATGAATGAGCAATGAGAAAGCGTTCCTCCGTATATAAACCTTTATGTACACAAAGTTACCGACAGCCCGAAGAAGCTGCATGCCATCCAGATGTAAACACGACAGATGTTTTTTTGTTTTTTAACAGTTTGTTTGGTTAAAGGGAGAACATGACACGTTGATGGATTCTCAAGCGATGGCAGATGACGGCAAAACAAGGGGGGGGGGGGTGATCTGGCAGTGTGTGCGGCTGGGTGAGGTCACAAACTCTCACACCGAGTCCCTCCAAGCAGCTTTTGTTGTTATTTATAGATTTGAAGAACAAAAAAAAAGCAAATATCGAATGTTATCTGCAGCACATCGCACAAGTCTCAAGCTGTAAGCAAATCTGTTTTATGTTGAGATTCTGTTGAAAATACCTGCAAATATTGGCAATCCACCATAGACAGTATATATGTTTATATATATATATGTAGAGAATCAGAAGCCATCAACTCTTATACTGATAAATCCAAAGAGGGCAATATACAAAAGAAAATAAATATGTCATTAAATATATTCACATACTTCATAGAGTCAATAAATCAGCCATTAGTTAAAAAGAGCAAACAGCAGTGACATGCTTCTTTTCCCAGCACCGTATCCTGAAGTTTAAAATATTTCACATTCATGGACGGGTAAGTGTCGGGTTAAGGGACATGCCAGACGAGCACGCGTACAATACCATATTTAGAGAGGAGTGACTACAACGTGACTTCTTTAAAAAAATGTGATTTTTTTTCTCTCAATCTGACAAATAAAGTTTAAAAATGAAAACAAAAACCGGTGTGTTTGGAAAGAAACAGGCGTGACCTACTTTCACCTGAAACACAGACTTTCTGTTGATAACACCTTTTGGTACGTGTTTTAATTCCCTCCAGTGCTGTTCCCCTTTGACACCAACACACACACACACCCTGCACCCCAAATCATCCAGAGTTAGAGTTTGAAGTGTTTCTGAACCCCGTGGTTATGTGATAGATGTCTCACTTTGCTCCCGGGTTTGAAATCCAAAAATCTATTCCTGGTGAGCGGGGGAAAGGTGACCACGGGGCAGGTTTCTCCTTTGGTGTGTGAATGGTGGCAGCGCTGTCAGAGGGGAAGGCTGAGCGGCCAGAAAGCCTCACATCATGCAAATGTAGCCCTTAGGTGGTAGCCTAGCTGGCAGTCTGCAGCACGTCTGAGGGGGGGGAAAAATCCCACCTTTTCACAGATATAGTTAGATGTTTGCTTTCGGAGTCGGTGGAAACTGGGGGAGATGCAGACTTTGACACTGATGCTGCATTCATGTAACATGGGAAAGATGAAAGACAGCCATTCTACTGCAATTATTGGAGCCTGTACAGATAAATGCCATTTGCAATTCAAGTAAAAATGTTTTGTGGTTAAATTGTCTCAATTATTTTGAATAAAAACTGAATTATTCTTGTAGTGGGGGGACAGGCCGGGACAACACTGATATATCACACCTGACTTTTCGTTACATGTTATCGAAGTTTTTCACACCCATATTAAACAATATTAGCTTTACTCTGGAGTTGTGTCGTCTGTTTTTGGTCTTCACTTCGTCCTAAGAAAAGCTTTCAGTCTCCTTAACTCTCAACCATGTTGACCATTAAATGCAACTTGTCTCTGTCCTCTGCTTTGCCCTGGATATGGATTTCTTTTTAAAGTTAAAAAATAACAGTCTAGTGTACAAATCGGCAGTTAAAGAGCAGAGGAACCAAAACAATGAGCTGATAGATGCTAAAGCAGAGCTAAGATCAGGTGGTATTTTCTACAAGATACGTCTCAATAAGTACAGACGTTAAATCAACTGTCATTACAAAAATGTGTCTCTTAAATGCTGAAAACTCATCTTTCCCACGTACCCTGAACACAGCTTCAGGTGCAAAAAGCCCGTGAAGCTTGTTGAGCTTATTGCAACCTGAAGCTGAAGCCTTTGATTTTCTTCAGTTTGTTGTTCTGGGATGTAAATGTCATAAACTTCACATTCTACTGAAAAGATTTGATTCATAAATATAAAATAAAAAAGAAATATACATATCCATAATCTACTCCTCTAATGATATACAAATAAAAACAGTAACCACAGCCGTTTCATGTTTTGATAAATCTGTTTCTGTATTGAAAATAGACCTCATTAAACTCCAGTTATTTCTGCTCTATTTAAACTTTGTGTCTTTTAATTAGAATGTAAAAGAATAAAGGTAAGTGGTTAGTAAGATAGAAGTGCTTCCTGCGATTATAATCCTTCATAAACATAAATAAAACTCTGAAAACTGCTATTTGTATTTTTTTTTAGGTCCCTGATTAAATATAATGAGATAGTTGATGATGTCACGTGACAGCATGTCGGACTGAATGTTTGCTGACACGTTGAAAAAGTCAGCGATTAAAGGTACCAAAACACAGCTGGCAAAAAAAAAAATGTAACAGCAGGATTAGTGGAGAAATGCATTAATCCTGCCGGTGTTGTTTCCACCTTTCACCAGCAGAGGGCGAGCTGTGGTCGCAAGTTGGCTTTTTAACGTCACTCATAGCAAAGACAGCAGTAAGTACAGTACACTATTTACAGTACAGCTTCAGATATTTTGTAAACTTGTTCAATCCATGCTTAATATCACACGTCATAACTCACATATTTACAGGAAATGGATTTCCACTCACGCATCTGTCCCACCTGCAACTCTTCATCACTTCTCTCTCGCACTCACAACATTATAGGGAATAGAAAGATAATATCAAACATGAAACAACCTTCAGACAAGCCTCTCCGTTCTCTGTTGTGTTACAAATGACATAAAATATACGAGGGCGATGAGCACATGTCTTATATATCCTTAGTCACAGTGGTTTGGTTGATATTTGAAGCTACTGTCCCCTACAGGCTGCCGTATCCGATCCCTGATGTGAAATGCAGCAGCAGATGTAGCTTTACCTGATGTGACTTTTCAAGATCATTTTCAAGCGCGACAGATTTAGAGATGCCTGAAAGCGTCGGAGAATCTACTGAGAGACTTTTAAATGAGCGCCGAATTAAAGTTAACCGTGAGACAGCCACACTTTTTTCCAAATCTGCGTTTGATGTTTTTAAAGTAGCTGTTGGTGCAATAAAACAAAAGAAGAAGGAAAAAATAAAGTTTACTGTTTGGCTCAGTTCCTTTTCATTCCAGCATTTTCCTGACACTCATCCCTGAAGGTGAAAACATTTCTGTGTGATGCAGCAGAGCCGGGGAGAGGCTGCGAGGGAAACATCAAAAGTGCAGAAATGCTCCCGCAGGCGCTCGATCGACCTTGTTCCCTCGCTTTGATTTATTCAACAGGAAAAGGTACAAATTGTTTGCACACAAATTTGTGCTTTTGGCAAACGAATTAACACAAGGGGCTCACGCTTTAATGAAGTGCGGTTGGTATTTTTTTAACCTCTCGGACACGCAGGTGCTTTAGAAATTATCCTCTGCAGCCGGACTTTACTCACACACTGAAGTGAATCTAAAATCCAAGTGGGAGGTCCCAGAGTAAACTCAAATGTCAGACTGAGTGTTGAAAAACAAAAGAGGCTTTAGACAGCTAGAATAGTTTTCATTTCATGGAGCCATAAAACTTAACTTATGTATTTGATTATTCCATCAATTCAAACATCAAAAAGCTTTAATGAGAGGAAAGAGAAGATAGAAAACCTTCAACCTGCCAATCAGGGTCAGATAAGGAGAATTTGACAACCTCACAGTTAAGGGGATTTAAAATGAGAAAATCTCATTCGAATTTCTGCAGAGAAAATGAATTTGTTTAACAGGGAATTTTGTAAATATGATGTAATGCATATTGATAACGGTAAAAATGTTAATATGCAGGCTGGAAACTTTATATTACTTGAAAATTAACTTGATTAAATCCTTATTAGTCACTTAAAAACCAACATATGTGTTTGTGCATGTATTTGTGTGTATATGTATGGATGGGGAGGGGGGGGGTATGTGACATGTTAAAACATTTTTTTTTAAATTGGTCCTTAATGATTATTGTATCATGATACTTGTCAAATTGATAGAGATATTTAAATAAATGAGCTGTGTCATGACAGTAAACTTCATCAAACATTTAGTGTGCTGTTTGTAGATTTTGGTGAAGGGGGGTGGGTTGGGGGGGTTATATTCACATCATGCAGGTGCAGGGCAACTCAAAATCAGAAGCAAGAAAAAAAAGAAGACAAGCCCACACACTGAGTCAGCGACGCAACAAGAGTAAAAATCAGAGTTTTGACCAAATGGTCTTCATCATCATCATCATCTGCTCCATGGTTATTTAAAACTATCGCCTGAGAACACTTGAAACATCGTGATTGTTAAAGTGTTTTTAGCATGATTTTCCATAAGTGTGCGTGACTGTGTTGTTTTTCTTGCCGATGTTTGTAGATATTTTTTTCAAAGGAGAAAACTTTATTTAGATGTTAGGAAATGAAGCAGCTGGCTTTTAGTGAAATATTCTGATTTTCTTTCAGAAAGTGGGATGAGAAGCTGGACATCACATATTCATAACTTCTGTTGCTTGTATTTGGCAGAAGGTTAGTTTAACTCTGCATACAGTGAGATAAACAGCCAGCCTGGCTCCGTTTGAAGGAAACTATATCCACTAACTGGGACCTCAGATGATGACTATAATGCTTAATTTCTGTGTAGTACAGATGGAAATCAATGCTGTTCACAGTCTTTACACTATACTACACCAACCAACAGCCTGCAGTCAAGTGTTCCTGATTTCCCCCCTCCCATTTGAACTACACAATGATTCCCCTCTTCAGTATTTCATTACAACCAATCCTACTTTAGAGACTTCCGACTGGCACAAAAACAAGAGTCATATAACCACTTTGCATTGCAAAATTATGCACTTCTTCTTCTTCTGCCAGGTGTCCACTCACTCCCACACTCTGCAGATCTGTCACATCACTGAAGCTGAAATGGACCTGAGCCTGTTCCTTCCCCCAGCGTCAGCTCAGCGTGTAAACCTCTTAGACAACAGCGCCGAACAATGTTTATGCCTCTTTGCATGAGATACAGAAGAAGGAGACAACAGAGGAAGAAGTGCATAATGGAGCCATAACCGAGATGTGCAGAGAAAAGTTTAGATTTGTTTAAATATTTCATGAGTGAAACATCCCGCGGTGTCGCTAAGACTCCTACAAATCACTTCAGGTTTTTAAGTTGTGAGCTGTAAAGAGACAGAGAGAGGAACAGACTAACATTGAACTGTTGCTCGCTCATTTTGTCGACTCCTAAAGGCAGCTTCTTGTTGTTGCTGACTTTTTAAAATGACTGTGGAGTTGTTTTCTTCCAGTATAGATAAGATCTTGTCAATTTAAAATCACTAACTAGCACTCGTATTATTCACTGCACAGAGTTGGAATCTTCCAAATAAGAGTTTCAGACTTTCAGGAGAAATTTAAAGCTGTATTGTCTTAAAAAATAATGAATTACTAAAAGATACAAGCTGGAATCATTAAATTGTTGTTGTTTGTATCTGGGGTCTCACAGGGCTAAAACTTGGATTGTGGAAAAAGTGTGGCAATCTACAGTAACTCCAGGCATCTCTGTTGTGATTTCCAAAAGCTTCAATCGTGGGATTTATAGCAAATATTAACTCAAATGTATTCCTCTAACTCCAGGGCTTCACACTGAAGTTTATCCAAGACAAAGGGCACCTTGAGAAGCTGGGAGAGGTCTGACGTGACGCGGAGAAAAAAAAGATCCATGTGGGGAGCCAACTGTGTTTGTCGCCGTTGGTTTGAATCCAGGACACGCACACAGAGAGGACGGGTCTTCTACTGTTTGATATTCTTTGGCAGCTCCAGGCCCGTCAGTAAGGTGACCTGCACAAACACACGGAGCAAACACAGCCAGGTCAAGCACTGACGAGTGAGGACACACTGTCACAAAATCAAACAGGCCAAAGAGAAGCCTGGCTTTGGTTTCAGGAGGGGAAATCACTTTGGACAATTTAACAAATACTCGAGATCAGAAGAAGATCAGATTTTATTACGACAACATATTGGTTCATTTTGACTCCAATACATTTTTAATAACAGCTGCAAACTAGATCAGTTTATCAAGATAAGTGTGTCCTTTATGGATTGAGAAACTTCTACTTTATGAAGCTAAATAAAACTTGGATGATCTTGAAATGTTTTAAACTGACAATCTTAATCAATATGATACACTGATTTTGATTCAAACTTGCAAACTTCATATTAAGTATTAAAATAAACATGCACAGTGGTTAGTGCGAGCGCCCCATGTATGGCAGCTGTAGTCCTCCTGGGCAGCCCAAATCCGACCTGTGGCTCCTTTCCCACATGTCATTCCCCACTCTCTCTCTCTCCTTTATTTCAGACTCTATCCACTGTCCTAGCTCTCTTATGCACATCCTTCTACATTCACATCAGAAAAAATGCACCATATGCGTTAAAGCAGCTGTTATAAATATATTCACACGACAACATTACGTATCAGAGTCAAAATCAGACAGGGACCATTTTCCAGCACAGTGAGTGCTTTTACTTGTTATTCTCTGTGCACGCTTTGCTGCTAATGCTTATATACACTGATTTAAGGTTTTGTATGCATCATGTTTTCTAAGAGTGTATTTGTTCTTTAATTAAGTTATCTAAACCACCCACTTCTTTCTCCTCGATTTTTGATTCCCCGTTTTCTGTGTCTTGCTTGTAAATTATTACCGACTTCTTCACTTTGATTATTAAACATCTGAGTTTACTAGTTTAAGCAGTGGCTACTTTGACTGTGTGCACAAATTTGCAGCAGCAATAACAACACTGTTTTAATGGCTGCCAAAGACGGCAAATATTCAGTGTTTTCAAGAAAAACAGCAGAAGTAGATAATGACTGATAAGATAAAAACAGGAATATTTCGGAAATTAGGGGACATTTAGTGCTGTTTAGCAGAATGCCAATCTCAGAGGAACCCATCGGCAAACATTTTCTATTATTGTCTGATATAGGCGACATATGCCTCCACCTAAACGCTGTCGTTTCTTAGTCCATAACATCCAGAAGTAGTGTGGGTATAAGATAGGATAATATCACAAACATTTAAGCACAAAAATATCATGAAGAAATGTTGAAATATAAAGTTTTAAAGGTTTAAGATTAGTGTAAGCATTAGGGATAAAGACACAAATACATACAGCCACACTAAATAATATATCCTAACTAAAATTCCAAACACACACACACACACACACACACACACACTGACCTGTACATTTCTGTTGAGGCTCACAGCAGGTACAAAGACCCCTTCCAGGCTCTCAAAGGCAGTGGGTCCATGCTGCTGCTTGTTAATGAAGAAGGTCAGAGTGTGTTTGGTCAGATCCAGCAGGACGCCAACAGATGAGCCCTTAGTGATGCCTCCCTCCGCCCTACACACACACACGCACACACACACACACACACACACACACACACACACACACACACACACACACACACACACACACACACACACACACACACACACACAACAAGCAGACAAAACAGGTTAATTTTTGATATCTTGGAAGTGAAAGTAAGAGAAACATCTCAACTACTGTACACAGAGAGGCTTGGTCTTATTTACTCTCCTTTGATATTTTAATAACAATACAAGGTGTATTTAAATGTGACTTCCACTCTATTAGTACTTCACTTCGTCGTGAAACAGGTAAAGACTCACAATGTTTAGAAGGCTTATTTCTGAATTTTCAAACCCCTGTCCAGTTACTGTAAACTGATATTTGCCTTCCAAGTGACAAAAAGGAAGCACTTTTTAAATTCCTTATTTAGATTTATTTCTCAGACTACTGAACAGCTACCAGCTCCAAAAAAATAACAGATCCAGTGATCGTAAGAATTAGCCTACGTGTTCTGCAAGGTGACGTTTTTGTACCTATTGGTGATTTAGATTTCAAATTACAAATGGGTCCCAGGTCTTAAAAAAACGGAATTTCCATATTTACAAGTCCCCTCTGAAGTTTCAGGAAATCAAGTTAGTGTTGTAAAGAGTCAACCCATGTTTGTGTATTTGTTGTGTGAGAAAGTTCCCTTGTATTTTTTATCATCCTGTTAATACTGTATTTCTTACTCTTTGCTGTGTGTACTCACTTTAGACAGACTTTTCCTCTTGAGGACAACAAAAAAAGGTAAAAATGTATCTATCTTGTTTGACTCCAACTCCAACTCCATGAGACATGTTTCAACTATCTGCACTTTATTCTACCAAGAAAAGGCCAAATGTGAATAAAAGACGAGGTGAAAGCATTCAAAAATTAAATGTCCATATTCAGCAATGTGGGTTTTCTATAATGTGGATCCACAAACATGAAAGTTTCTTAACTCAAGACTTTGACCTTGGACACATACTTAGACTTAAACATTCAGTATTTATCTCAAATGTATGTTTTTGTACAAAAGCTAGTATGTGAAACCACCTCTATAAACATGTACATACAGTATGTATACAAACAGCTGCATTTCACCAAGCTACATGCACAATAACACAACGCCTGAGTGAGATTCAACTCTCACAGGGATGATGGATTAAATGTGTGATAAATAACAGTGTTATGATTAACAACATGAAAACAAGTGGCACAGTAATTAAATCTGCAGTCTGGGTGAACTTGAGGTTGAGGTAGATCCATAAATTCAGAGAGGTTTTTTGCATATTTCTGTGGAAAGTCATTTTTTTTTTCTGGTGAAAGAAAAGAGATTTTCAGCTAGAATAAATGTTTTATGAGTGTTTGATAGTTTGGCTGTGACGTTGAGAGAGATGCTGCAGAAAGATGTTTTGATGTCTTCTTCTGCTGCTCCCTGATGTGTTTGTTAGCTGGTATTGTATGAACCCCCGAAGGTCCAACTGTCATCTTGTGTGTGTATCATTATTGTGAATGTGTGTGTGTGTGTGTTTGAGGAATGTGTGTGAGAGGAAGATTTAATGCAGTATACATAATGCTGAATGGAGGCTCAGAGTGCCGCCCCAGGAAGTTCGCCTCCTGCTGTTTTTATTGACACACAAGTGATGTTTGTAAATAAGATCAAAGATGAGCACTCGTTTTTTATATGACATACAAGCTGAAAAGTTATGACTGACTGGCTAATTTATTGGTTATTACGTTGTTTATTAATCTGCTTTAATCATTGGAGCAATTCCAATTTTTAAGACACTAGCTTGTGAAAACAACCCTTAGCCAATCTGCAAACTTCAACTGTAATTACCATTCATTATTCTGTGAAGCAACACTTTAATGACTTCTTTGAATTTATGAACTATAATATATTAAGTAATGTGTTTCCACAGCATAGTAAGCTTTTCTCTTTACACTAAGCCATGAGGTCTGAAAGGAAGAGAAGATTTTGATTAAAACAGTATATCAAAGCTGCATTAATTTAAAAAAAATCATACATTTTTAAATTAATACATTTGGGTTACAACCTGGCCTTTTTGAAATGTGCTCTGGAAAAATCTCATTTAGTGTTTAAGCTGTCTTTCTAATGAAAAATTAATCCAGGCGGGCAAAACATTTAAGATTTAAAATGTGTATTGTAAATCAGATTTTACAAGTTCAATCTTCTATTGGCTGGGAGTCTTCATTTAAAAAGGTCAAATATCAAATATAAAAGGTATGTTATGATATAATACTAAACTAAGAAGCACTAACACAAACAAATAGTGATAAGGATGTTCAGAAAGTGACAATAAGAACATACACAAATATTTTAGGGGAATTTTTGTTTGTCTTCTCCATAAAAACTTTTGTAATGCAACACTTCAAAATGTAGATCACCTTTTCAAAAACACAAGCAATGATTGAAAGGAAATTGTGTATTATTATAAAGTGTATTATTCTTTAGTGTTTGTATGCAAATGTATGTTACCTAAAAATAGATGTATTATTTTTCCATTTAAAATCTGTCGGTGTTCAATAACCCAAAAGTTGGTGAGCTTTGAGCTTTTGAAAATTGCCGTACAACACTGACTGCTGTTTGTAAATTCCCATCCAATTCAAAAACACAAAGTATAGTTTAACAGTGAGCACCTACCTGTTAGTGTGCGAGTTGTTGTGCATAAACCAGGAGCGGTTGTTGTCCACGTACATGGCCCATGCCTTGTCATCTTTCCCCAGCATCATGTCTTTCATGGTGTTGATGCGTGCCACGCCAAACGCAGGGTCCGGGTGGTTGTCGTAGCGGTCGATGCAGACCTCCCAGTAGTGGATGCCCTGAGATTCAAGTGAAAATAAAATCAATCAATCAATCAATCAGTGTAACATGACTTAAAAAATCAATGAAACAGACAAATAAATGTGTTGAATGTGTTTACCTTGGAGAAAGCAGCAGTTCCCAACACAACGCGGTCATCGTAGCTGTTACAGGAGACTGTCTGGTTATCATTCGTCAGAGCGATGTCCCTGTGAGCTGTGCTGGGATCAAATGTAAACCAGGCCACTGTAGGAAGGAAAAAAACAGACAGTCATGAGGCCACATCTGTATTTATTAGTGGGGGGAGTAACCAAGAATAGGACATTTGCGTTTGAGTTTCTTATAAGACCAATATTTTTACACTTTAGCTCACATGTTTGTGCTGTGAGAATAGAAGTGTCTCATGTTTCCACCATGATATTAGCATGCTTAAGTTGGTTGCTGATAGAATATAGGTAAACGTATAGTTAAAGTGTTTGAGCTTGGAGCTGGGGTGAGGCTTCTTCCTGTAAACATACATTGATAAAAGATCTGCACATGAAAGAAATATGTGTGAAAGAGTTGAACTCTGAGGAGCATCAGATTTTTGTTTGAGATACAACAGTACGTGGAGAAAAGAAACTTCATGTTGTGGAAAATATATACAGTATATATATCTGACAAAGCCTTGAGACACTCACAGATGTTGTTTTTCAGTACAAGAAATTCACTGTTGTATACGACAGTGAATTTCTTGTTTCTTTTTTTTGTAGTATACTAAGCAAATTTAGGATAATGACAGTAAACAGCAAATGCACCCTCATGCCTTTCTTGATTTATTTTGATAAAGGATAAGGTCATTGCTTCCTTTTCTAAAATACAACCCTTCACTCTGACTTGATGAAAAGTAGTTGGTGTATTACCACACCAATCTTTATCCCAAACTCTACCGAACCATAAGTTGGGGGCGGCAGTAGTTCAGTCTGTATAGGGACTTTAGTTGTTAACCAGAGGGTTGCTGGTTCAAGTCCTGGTATTGACCACATATGGGACTGATTGCTGGAGAGTTGCAAGTTTGCTTCCTGAGTACTGACGAGGCGCCATTGAGCAAGATACCAAACCCAACTGCTGGAGGAGCAGCTCCTGTACAGCCCCCTCCATCTGACATCTCTTCAGTTATGTCAAGAGGTCTGTGCTTGTTTGTATTTTGGGTCTATACGTGGGGGTGTAGCATGTCTCACAATGACAAAGTTACCTCAGTGATTAATAAAGTATATAAAATAAAAAATAAATTACAAATATCCTGAACCTTAAAACCAAGTCTCAACCTTCAAGCAGCCATTCAAAGCTAAATGTCCTCTATTTACAGATTGGTCCTCACTTTGTAGGTCTAAGTCAGTCTTTGGTCCCCACAAAGATTTATGTACAAGAACATAGACACACACACTCACACACACACACACAGACACACACACACACACACACACACACACACACACACACACACACACACACACACACACACACACACACACACACACACACACTTACATCTGGGACACAGTTACTATCCAGGCCTGAGGACAGACATGGTTCATTTTTCAGCTACAACCTTATGCTGCAGCATTGTGGGGGCACATCAAATATTTACACACATAACAGAAAATATATACCATAAATACTACAAATTATGCATCCAGCCAGTGTTTGTTTTTTATATGTAATAGCAACAAGAGTCACATCCCATAATTTCCCTCCCCCATGTGACTGAATGAAGCTCCAGTACGAGAGGAGAGAGAAAAAAGAGGCAATGTCTGGTGAGAGAAAAGAGAAAGAGGAGAGAGCAGAGAAAAGGAAACAGAGGGCATGTTGGCATAAACGGTTATCAGTCGGAAAACAGAGTAATGCCCATTGTTACTGCAAGTGTGTGTGTGTGTATGTGTGTGTAAGTCTGCGGACAGTCTTCATTCTTATCCAACTGTTGTTGTAAGATTTTGTCATTGTTCATTGTATTCCCATTTTCCCTCCACTCCTCTAACCCCCTTTCTTTTCTTCTATTCTGTTTTTGTGTTTCCTGTTAAGGAAGCTTTTTCCTTTTCTGCTTTTTCTTGCCTTTATTTTTCTTTATATTCATGTTCCCTTCCTTTTCCCTGTGTCAAAACCTGCCCCTGTTTAGTTCTCTTCCCCTTTTCTCTCTTTACTTTTCTTTCTCTTCATTTTAGTCTTTTAGTAGCGGAAGAAGCAACAGAGTCCACTACATGTCGCTATAATGAGAATATTTGCATTTATATCAATGCTACATGTAGTCCAATGGAATGACAACATCAACAAAAGAGCGGAGGACAACATACTGGTGCACAAAAAATGTAATGCAGCAGTTAAATTATGGATTAACTCGGACTTGCTGCGAAAAAAATACTAGGGGTCTGGCAGGAGAAACTTGGGGTGAAGTCCGAGCGAAAAATTCAGCTGTTTGTGTTCACATAAAAAGCCCTTCAGGGTAATCTCCTGGGTTTTTCAGGAGATTTCCACATATGTAAAAAGGTTATTTCTTACTCTTCTTTCCTATCATTCTTTTCCTTCCCATCTTTTGTACTCTTCCCCCTCTCTTTTCCTTTTTCTCTTTTTGATTTCAGTTTCTTCCTTCTCTTTCTCCTGTCTTTAAGTTAATAAAAACTCCTGAATCTTCTTCTATAAAGCTTCTGTTATGTATTTTAAATGGTTTGTAAAACATTTTTACAAAGGTGATCAATAGATAAACAAAACTGTTCTGTGGACAGCTATTACATCAAGAAAGTCAAAGAAAAAGAGAAGAAAAAAAACAGACAAACACCATTACACATGACCTACCATCAGAGGTCTTGAGCACCACGGTCTTGCTGTACGGCCCAACACCGATGGCATTGTAAGCTTTCACTCTTGCATTGTAGGAGCTGTTAAAATGGAGTCCATCCACCGTGCACACTGTCTCCTTCCCCACATATACCTCCTGGGAGCACACACACACACACATTATAGTCGCATCATTACAAATGCAGATTAAGAGCAAACACGTGTATATTTGCTGCTTAAACACTCAAAGATGCGTGCATGGACTCAAGTATTAGCAGAGACAATGGGATGAGAGCACTTTAAAAAAAAAAATCACGTTTATTGATGACACATATTCAAGTATGCACACACACTACCATCCAGCTTGAGTCAGAGATGAGCAGCATATGGATTATTAATAATAAAATAACAAGATTATCTACAGAGACACAAGTCTCTGCCTTTTGGATTAGATTACTATTATTTTAGTATCAAGCTGTGTACTTTCTAAGACACACATTTGGACTAAATGTGTGGTTTTTTTTGTGTAGTACTGACCCTGTACTGTCCCCCGTTTCCATCATCCAGCTCCAGAATGTAGCCTTCAATGGCACTGCTAGGGGGCGCATTTACCCTCCAGGCCAGGGTGGCGCTGTTGTCCCTTGTGCAGCACTTCTCCAGCTGCAGGAGAGGCGCTGCCGGCACCCCGGGTCCGGCCTCCACTGCTGGACAGAAAAAGATGGATAAGATATAAATAGTGTAATTGGGGGGATGAGAGGAGAAAGTAGATGACAGGGCGGATGAATGAGGAGTAGGAAAAGGAGGACAAACAGGGTGATGTCATCAGCTGACTCGTTGCTTTTAAACCAACTGAGGGGAGAGAAAGAGGAGCTCTAATGCGGATCATGTGGGAAATAAAAAAAGAAAAGCCTTAAAGGTGAATGAGCTTTAAGTTCATTTAGAGGGCAACAGCTGGGAATCAGTGAAGGCTTTAAGTAGGCCATGTGAGGACGTTATACCCCTATGGAGGCAGAAGTGCTAGTAGTGCACAGGGTTAGACCGATATCAGCTTTGAAGACTCGAAGATAATTTGTAACCAAAGCATCCAGCAGCAATGATTTAAACAAAACTTGGATTATTCTCGTCAATACACCCCAGAAAATTACAAGTATTTAGAGGGCAGTATGTTCTCGCCAATGTGGGAAAACCGAGATTTTTTAAATAGAAAACTCCAAATTGAAAGTAAGACAGATGAAAGAGCTTTGAATCAATTACAAGCTTAAGTCAAGGCTGGATTCTCAGCTGGCTGACGATGTATAAAAGGAGAGAAACCAGCATTAAGTCAAAAGATTTGTCTTTTAAAAGGAGACGTATCTGTCTAACCGTAATGGTGGTAAAACCATCAACCCACACTCCAAAGGGAGCTGAAATAAACACACAAACAACACAGACAGGGTAAACATGTGGAGATCTCAGGCTGATGATATCTGCTTTGTATCAACATCTATTTTCTTGTCTGATTTAAACCAAAATAAAAGTAGTGACGAGACAGAGGAGAGGCAGCAGTCAGGACAGAGGGAACAACCTTTCACAATCAATTTTATACAAATACATTGCATGTTTGGTTTTGGTTCATCAGTTGTGACATTTCAATTCTAAAACATTTGAAGGCAAAGTACTTCTTTGATTCATGACAATCAAGTTAATCAAAAGCTTTTGAAGGTTTTTAGTATAGTGTATTCTCCTTTTTCATTTATTTCATTTCGTGATTTGGCTTTCAGTCTGCATTTATCCACATATATTACCCATAGATAATATCTTCTTGTATTGTTTTATTTCTTTGAAACCAATATTCAACAACATAGTTATGGTGACATTTTTACGTCAACAGATTGTTAAGAAGATCATGTACAAAACCCTTTCTGTTATTTGATTAACATTTTGTTAATTTTGCAACAATGGTAATAGTTTTTGTTTAGAAAGACATTAAATCATAGACTCTGAAATAAACGCAAAAGGATTCTTTAAGAGAATAATATTGGAAGCAGAGAAGTACTTCAGCCAACAAATTTCATTACATTTATTTGATGTTTGGGAGTTTTTGTCTTCCATTGAAGGCAGGACTAATTTGTTGAGCTGCCATTCATTGGAGAGGACCTGGAGAAAACAGTAACCATGCAGAGGAAGGAGACCAGGTAGACGCTGTGGTACAAAAAAAGACGAGTGAATTTTGCGACCAGAATGGCCGTGAGGACTATCAGGGCTGAGGGAGGACAAAGGAGTGACGAATAAACTCAGGGAAGGTAACATAGGTTTACTGTGAGAAGTCTCTGAAATACCTCCGGGGCTCTCTGTCTCCATGTCAGTCTCATCACTGTCTGCTGCCTGCATTTGTTTCAAAAACGGAATCTCCTGTACATCTGGAAATATGATGTTGGTTTGGATATTTTAATACAAGAGCATGTGGACAGAAGGCGGCTAACAATGAAGGTGGAGCTGACAGTGAGACCAGTATGAGACATTTTGATTGATTGCATTAGAAACATTAAAAGTTCATTTTGAGAAGAAAGTGTGCTGCATTCACTAAATGTCAAAACAGTCACAAAAGCATTACTTTATTTACTAATCTACAAAATATTAGACTTTGTTTCAAAAGAAAAGGGTCTTTAAATTCCTGTAATATGTCAAAGATATGAAATCCCTGTTATATTTATAATATTGACTGATTTTTTTATACTATTCATTCATTAACGTCTCATATTACGTTTCCTCAAAGTATAATATGGTATCGTCTGCGTATACGGAAATATTTACTGAAGACTGAAACAAATGCTGAAACTATGGAGGGACTCTGGTGAGTAGAAACATTACACTACTTAACTTGAGTTCTTAGTTGGAATTATTTATTTATTTATTTTACCTCTGCAACATTTTCCTGAAGTCATAATTTTACAACCTAGTTATTTTTCTAAAGGAAGAATGTGCCGCTTTTTGATCCAGTAGATGTCGCCCTTGAGCACCAGCATGAAACCAAAACAAACTGCTGTATGGCGACACCTCCACTATTCTGAAGCCTCCGCTCTCATCCAGAGACACACCTCCAACCCCTCTCTACTCGAATTTGCACAAAGGAGTTAAGAATTAGAACGCACCATAATTAAGCACCAAAATTGTCCTTTGATCGACCTGCAATTGCCTGTGTCCTGCATTGTTGTGTTAGCAGGCTAATGTTAGCACACTTTGGTTAGCTCGTAGCTTCACATTGCACATAAACACACTTATGTGACATCCAAATAGGCAGTGAGTATGTTATTCTTCTTTCTAGTCCGTGTCTTAAACAGCTTCATAGGTAAAGTGGTCCTGTCCATGTAAACACGGCTTCAATACAACTGGCAAGACTCACTCTACTCACTCATTGTAGACAGTCATGACTCTGATTTCTGCTGTATTTATATGTAAAATGTTGCACATTCTTCCTTTAACGTAATGGCTTTCCTTTCAGTTCTGCATATTAAAAACTATATTCCTTTGAATTTACCTTTAATCTGAATGTCAAAGTCAGGGTGAAGAGTATAAATTACTAATTGTGACCTTTATCATTATTTTCAGCAGTTTGCATAAAAAATTAACACATTAAACACACAATTTATTCCTTACAATAGCTCAGACAGCATAAGCAAAGAAAGAAAACAAAAAGCTTGATATCTTTTGTTGTCACTGTGGGAGTATGATTGTTTTAAGATGTTTGGTAAGACTTATATATATTAACAGGGTTTTATCTTCCACTGAAGACACTGAGGTCATCTGCTCAGCAGTTTCACTGAAGGGTTTTTCAAAATGTTGGGAATTTTCCTTTCAGTGTTTTTCAGTAAGCCTAATATGACTAACAGAAAAGGAACTTAATAAGCCAAAGATGACATTTCTGTTGGGCAACAAAGGGGAAATGCTTTATTTAAGGGTTGAGTCATTTCCAAATAATGTCATCAAAATATTCTGGGAATAATTAGTTCACCAGGCAGTAATTACCTACGAAGAAATATAAACATTTTGTATGTTTTGGTCCAAAATACTTAGTTTTATCTTTTTGATTTACAGAGAACATCAAGACTTTCTTAAAAAACATGATCTTTAGAACAGCTCATCCCGTTCAGAATGGCATTGGTGATGGTAGCAAATCATTTAAGGCAGCTTGTGAATGAGGACACCTCCTACACTGTGCCGCTTGCTCAGGATGTCAAAGACTTCAATTCAAAGGCATGAAATCAAATGGTCTATCTTTAAACTTCCTTGCTTTGTTCCAGATGATGAGTAGGACGGTGGGGAAACGTACAGATGGGTTTTATGTCACCACCATTAAAGCACCAAAGTCGGGACTACCAAAGCAACAGCACCGCTTGAAGTTTGTTTGGATTTTCTTGACAAAATCTCCTTACCTGAAGATATGGGTCGCATTCTTTATTTACATATTTGAATTTTTCTTTAGAAAGCTTGAGATCTTTACTTGAAAATAATACGATGATGCAACAGATAAAAAATGAAAACCTGAAAGTTCAATAGCTTGAGGTGGGAAGGAACATAAAGCATTACATTGATAAGAAAATCATTAACTTATTATGAGCGCATAATCACATTATAATGTTCACGTTATTAACTACACAGCACTAAACTGATCATGATTATGTAATCAGTATATTAGACATGCTTTAATGGGTCACAATGGATCACAATGCATTTGAATACTGTTTTAAAGCTCGCGCATGAAATATACGCTTTAATGATTGATTGCAAGATTTGATCTAATTAAGTTAAATCAGCATCTGCAAAGAAAAACACACTAATCTTCACAGCAAAATAAAAGATGCACAATGATAATTACATATTCAATGTACATTAAAAATACATCTGGGTAATCTGTTAGGCGTGCAGCCGATTGAATGTAGAGGACGGTATGTGTACTTATGCATGCCAACTGGTTGCCGGGTAGCAACAGCCAATGAATATCTTTGATTAGATATTCATTGTGCTGATTTGTAGAGTTGTACATCTTGCAGAAACCTCAGAAGGGACGATCAGCAGAAACAAAATGTTGTTGATGGGATATCAAGGGCAGTTTGTTTAAAAAAAGCAGCCCACTGACAGCCAAGATGGTTTAAGATTTCTCGGTTTTAACAGGAAACTTGTGCTACAAACTGTGAGCATTACGTTTGACATTACTGATTAACAAGCACCAATTTCTTTGTGGAACAAATCTTGAAGGGATTGATAATGAGAATACAAAAAAATTGAATCATAAGAAAAAATAAATCTATATTGTTAAATAGGTGCACAAGATGCCCAGGGGTGTGATCTAAATAAAGTCAAAAAGACATTTCTTATTTCACATGAAATTCAAAATTTACTGATTCAACTGTATAAAAATGTTTTAATGTCACTGTCAGCATTTGTAGAAACAATCAGGGGAAGATGATGCCACCGATAAAATAACCCATCAACAAACCTTTTTTTGAGTGCATAACAAAATTAATTGAATACTTAATTAAAAACGTTTAAATAAATAATACTATTACTTCATGAAAAAGACTGAATAGAGGCCGTATTTCACCAATGCACATTTATTAATATTGAGCCTACAGAATCCTGTTGTAGGGCTGAGCATTAAAATACAATGTCATCGTTATCCCAATGTGAGCGTTTGCAATAAACACGTCGAAAAGTCTGAATTTACTGCAGCAATGCTTTCTCACTCAGCATGTTGAAATTTTACCTTTTGGATGGAGGCTTATGTGTGATGCTCATGCTAGCAGTATACACCATTTTTCAGCAGCAGCAGAAGCTCATGCTAGCTACTATTGAACGATATTATCACACATTGCATATTTTTCTCCTATCACGCAGCCCTAATTGCGGCTCACACAGTATACTGTAGATGTGCAAGTTTGTGCTTTTCTGCGTTTACCTTTTCCCTGGCAGAAGTCCAGCTGCAGGATGGTCTGCAGCAGCGAGTCGGTGTTTAGGGTGAGGTCAAACTCAGGGCCCACTTTTGGCTCCAGTGCCCCCTTCACCCACTGGTCCTGAGACGATATCACCCGCTTTATCAGAGCATCTGATATCTACAGAGACAGAATTCATTATAATGTTAGACGTTAAAAGAAAAAAAGTGAAGGAAGGTAAGCCCATTAAAACACATGTGCAGTCTGAAACAGTTAATAAAAGAGCATCCATTTCATATCTATATTAAAGTACTGTGATACCCTCCCTGCATGCAGCTCCTCTGTTCTGCGATCTGCTCCATTAGCCCCGCTTCATTACATTGTGTCTGACAAGCAAAATGAGGCACGCATTAGTGCAGTTCAAATATTTAAGGATAAGAATTAAAAAACCCCTCACTGGTAGGAGCTTCAGTGCCTCAGGAAGGGAAAAAAAGGCTAAGTGAATGCATTACATTAAACTGCACTCAGCTGCAAAAAAAAAGAAAAGATATAGCTATCATCTTTAAAGGGCAAAACACAAGCAGAGGATTTAGAGACTCGTCCTCCAGCATGAGAACATAAATTGCTTCATTTAGCTTCCTTTACACGTTTCAGACTAGTGGCATTGAGCGTCCCTGAACTTAAATGTTTCCTTAATATCCACCTTTGATTCCTTAAAAAGCCTGTAGTTATGATTTAGGCTTTTGCAACCATAAAGAACCCAGGAATCAATACGTTATAAAATATTCAGATGAAATAGAGGGATATTTACGTGTGTGTGTGTGTGTGTGTGTGTGTGTGTGTGTGCGCTCAAGTCCCTCAGGAGTGTCTTTGATCTCTATTTCATTTTTCCCTGCCACCTTACTCTGTTTCTCTCCTGCTATCTCTCTCCATGGAGGAGGAATGATTCATAATCAGAGTCAGAGACGCTTCAATTTCATCTCCTGTAATTCAGTAGGATCAGAAACAGATGGGGGGAAAACAAATGTTGATTTTCATTCTGCAGGAGATACTTATTACTGACATGATAGGCAGTGATGTAGTGGTGCCTAAAGTAGTGGGTATACTCTAAATTTGTACAAAAGCAGTGACATGAATCCTCTTGCATATTAAGTCAGTGCGTTCCTCAGATCTGAGGAACAAAAATTGCATCATTCTGAATACTGCCCATCATTCAATGGTGTGAATCAGAGGGGATTGAGAAGTGGGTATACCCTATGGAGACTGAAAAATAAGTGGGTATATACTCCGTATACCTGCGTATACCCTGAACTACACCACTGATTATAAGTGTTCTTTTAATAGATTTTTACCACACTTTTCATTTTAGATTAGCTTTTTGGTTTTATGTCACCGCAATGAAAGCACAAAGCCGGGACAATCAAAGCCTCGTCACCACTCAGAGTCTGTTCGGATTTTCTTGACTGGAGCTGGAAATAGAGAAATTCTCCTTCCACTAAAACTCTACCAGGGTCAGATATGGGTCACATTCTTTGTTTACATGCAATCAGGTCACAGATGTATTTGATATTTGCAGGTTTTCTACAATAGGTATGTCATCAAACACAAAGGAAATTATCTGTTTTATATTTAGAGACCATTATTGGACAGAAAATGATTCTTCTTTTTGCATTGGGCACCCTTTTGATCAACGTGTCAAAATGTATGAAACATTAGTGATCTAGTGATCAAAGCGATAATAAAAGTGAGCAATTATAGAGGACCAGTGGGTTCTCAAGGACCCCCAAACAGATCATCAGGGTTTAATCAATCACTTTCAAGCAGGTGCACGAGTCACATCTGACCTTTTCCAGTTTGACCTAATATGCACCGATCAATAGTCATTGATTGGCTATTGAGCATCTGAGCCCAGGACTGCTAAACATGCCAGGTCAATTAAAAATAGATCAGTTGCAGTATTAGGAAAAACAAATCTGATGCATCCTGTGTTTGTGTGTGTGTGTGTGTGTGTGTGTGTGTGTGTGTGTGTGTTCCTCCTCTTACTGTGTGTTTTTTTTTTAGCTGCAGAAACATCAGAAGCTCCCCTCAAAGCTCATTTCTCCTCTCAAGCTCAGAGGAAGCACATCTTAACCCATCCTCCTTCCTTTTATCTTTTCCATTTACATATTTGGTTGTAAATATTTAAGAAAAGTTGTGTTTTTTATCTACAGTAAGATCCCTTTGTGTGGACTATGTGAGCAATTTTTACAGAGCTTTTTCACAGAGGTCAGCAGTTTCTCAGAAGGCACTAAAACCAAGAATTTATTCATTTGGCCGCAGCTGGAAATCACTTATGTGCAGGCTTGCAAAGGGGGACTATTTGGTGACTTGCATGACATGAAAGAAGGCTGAAACTTGACATTAACACACATACAGACACACAGTGGGTCAGATACCTGCAGAAATCCACTGGGATCGTTCTCTTTGAGGACTTCCAGACAGTACTCCATCATCCCGGTGGTCTGACGAAGCTTCATGGTGCAGTGGGTGATCTGGTCACGTACCACCTGACAAAGACGCAGAGCAGAGGTTTTAGTACAGAGCAGGGGGGTCTGTTGTGTTTGCTTCTAAACCTATAACACAAGATTATTAAACCAAAGATCCAAAATGTGACAACTTCTATTCATGTTGTGCTCAGAGGGTAAGTCAAAATAAAAGGAAAGCTGAACATAAGTCACAATAAGATTAGTAAAGATAAACTAAGATTATCAAACTAAGGTCAAGATAAGTGACGATAAACACGATAACTCAAGATGTCAGGATAAGTCAATACAAAATAAGTCAAGATAAGATCATTTAATTCACAATAAGATACCTGAAGATGTAAGACAAGATAGCTCAAGATTGTAAAAAAACATGTTAAGTCAAGATACTTAGAGATGAGAGTAGAAGTACATTGCCACAAGACAAGTCAAGACAAGAAAACCTAGTTTAAGATACGATAACTCAAGATAAGTCAAGACAAGAAAACCTAGTTTAAGATACGATAACTCAAGATAAGTCAAGATTCAAGGTTAGATCTTAAAAGTCACAATTAGGTGAGCCAACATAAGATAAGTTGAGACAGGACATGATACCTCAAGATAGTAACAAAATGATAAGTCAGGATAGGTCCATGTGAGATAAGTTGAGAAAAGGAAAGTCAATGTAAGCTATAGGTCACAATAAGTCAAGATAGAACAAGATAACTCGAGATAAGTCGTGATAAGACAAGTCACGATATCGTGAGATAAGATTAAATTTAATATTTTGCTAAGATAAGATAACCTAAGTTGAGTTCAAGTAATTCTAGGTAGGTCAAGATAGGATAACTCAAGATAACTTAAGGTAAGTCAAGATATCTCAGATGAGGACACTACAATAAGTCGAGGTAAATCATCAAGAAACGGCAGTAAATTACAATAAATAAGAGAAGGCAATGTAAGCATTCCCAAGACAACCCACAATAAGATCATTCAAATCATCAAGACAAGAATAAATAATATTGGTTACGGTATGTCAAGATAAGTCAAGATAAGATAGTAAAGCACATATAAAATATAAATAACATGAAATCCAAAAATTACACACTGGAAAAAAGGGGTCATCAGTAGAGATGATAAATTTGGTTTCAAGACCATGGCCCAAAAAACAAGCCAAGCGAGCACTTTGAATACATTTTGTTACACTTTGTGGGCCATGTAAAATGACTGATATTCCCCGACATCAGAGAATCACTGTGGGCAGCTGTTCAGCAAAAACAAGGACTGGCACCAAACACAAATGTCTCAAAAGGAAGGCAGAGGTAACACATAGGTCCACTATGAAAAACAGACCAATAGGCCATCAAAACATTCTAGAATTAAGTCATTTTCACATTTGTATCACGTCAGAACTAAAATCCGCAGGGTCTTTGCCAGCACTTACAAGCTGCAAACAGATTAAATTTTGTTACAGCATCTCTTCCACCTCCTGCTGTTTTTTTAATCAGCTAATAGAGATCAAACATCAGATTAACCTCTTCTTATGCTGCCTTGCACTCCACTTAAACAGGATTCTCTGCCCTCACCTCGAGCATGACCGAATGGAGCACAGCCAACAAAAATAAGTAACCAAGTCCAAAGAGTGGGCAGAGGCAAAGAAGATGTGAATGCAGGCAAAAACACCCAAACTATGTCGACTGCTAAATAGATTATCTGGTCATGTGTGGGTGGAACTGGGCCGGTGTAGAAACCAGGCCACAAAAACATTGTAAAGGCTGCTCAATTTTCCAAAAAGATTACTCAAAGAAAAAGATGGCCAAAAAACTAAAACAGGGAAGTCGTTCAATGTGTTAATGACTCACCAAAAAACTGGCTTTTGGACTGGTAGCTCTACTCTGTAATAGACCAATTTTGCACTTGTCTTTCTGTGCTTGAGAAGGTTATGAGTGACTCGGAGGAATAACTGGAAGTATCTAAGTGGCAGCCATTATGAGAGCTGCCAATCATGCCAGGAAGAAGAAGATTCAGTCCTTCCTTTCTTATCGCCTTTGAAATCGGAAACTATTCTAATAGGAACATTACAAAGTTTAGCAGGACTGCTCCGGATATTCTCCTGACCTGGCTGTTCACATATGCTCGTCACAGCGGGAGAATATCCCTGTCAGACGGGAGGCGGGGGGGCGGTAGGTCTCCTGAGGTAAGATGTTAAAAAGAAAGATGCAGAAGTAGCTGACAAAGGTGCTATACGATGCTATAATGAGAATATTTGCCTTTATATCAATTCTACTTGTAGTTCAACGGAATCACACTATCAAAAAGAGCGGAGAACAACATACTAACGAACAGAAAACATAATGCAGCTGTTTAGTTAAGTGAACGGAGATCGTAGTTGTTGCATGCAGACACTTTATGCACCGTGCAGCAGTCACAGCATAGAAACGTCACTCCCCCTCTCATTGGTCCGAGGTGAATTCTCCCGATAATATCCTGCTGCGTTCTCACATCAGCTCACTTGGGATTGCTGCAGAAAAAATACTAGGGATCTGGCAGGAGAAACTACAGTTTGCTGAGATTACAGTATAATAAAAATATTACAAATAATTTGTCTTATAAAGGCTATATAAGAGGAGGGCAAAGAAATTAACTTTTTGAAATTCTTTCTAGGCCTATTAGTGAAATTAGGCAATGGGTAGCAGGAGTCAAATGCTGATGGATCAGAAACAACATGTTTGCAAGCAAAATAGACTGAGAAAAAGAATTATGAAACAATTGGCTTACAGCATGACATTATAATTCCATTAAAAATGCATAGGTTCCAGGAGCGCTGTTTCAGAAACTGATGCAATGGAACAAGATGAAAAAGGTTAAAAAGAAGAAAAAGGTTGATGAAAGCTGACTGTTTTGATAAACCGAACCAGATAAAAGTGTCTTTATTCTCTCTTTTCAAGTCTTTGACTGTCTCACATGTGCAGAAATCACATGCTATCTGTTTGGTGAACTCTGAGCTTCAGGGAAATTAGATTTTGATGCCTGTCTCAACCTTTAGTTCAAGACTAATTGAAACTCAGTGAACTGTCATCTCCTTATTATCGTTTAAATTCTATAATACCGGCGCCTTATTTCAACATGATCAGTGGTCTTCAATAATATGCTAACTTTCTATACCTGATATATGTTTAAGACCTCCTTAACTCGTTTGTGAACTCTGCAAATACAACAACCAGTCAAAGATTAAGCAAAGGATGAGACAAAAAGCATTTTGTTATGTTGGGGGAAACGAAGATAATTAATCACACAGTTAACCGAACGGTCGCCTAAATGAATCAGAGAGTCAATTAGATGGAGTCTTGCTAATTAGCCCCCTCGTTTATTTGATGGTTAATGAGATCACAGTTAATTATTCACCCGTCAACTGCTGTTTAATCTAAGATATGAAGGGTGTACAGAGGATCAAAACAATTCAACTGTTTATGTGTGTGTGTGCATGCATGTGTGTGTGTGTGTGTGTGTGTGTGTGTGTGTGTGTGTGTGTGTGTGTGTGTGTGTGTGTGTGTGTGTGTGTGTGCTGACTTTGTCTACTTTCGGGGACCCCTGATTAGGGGCAGTTTGTCTAATGGGGACGTTGCCAAAAATAACCCCTAAATACATTTGATTGTAGAATTGAGCTTTATAACAGTTTATAATGTACAGGATTTTTATCTCAAATATTAAAATAAATTATTTTTGTGTATGTTTTCATTTTATGTCTTGCTATGCTTTTTTATAGCAAATAATTATTGTTGTGTTTGATCTAATACATTGCATAATACATCCACTTAATGCACAATAGGTTTATTGAGTCATTTGTCCTCTTTAAAGGCTTACAAGCTCATCAAGTTAAATTTAAATATGCATGTTTCAGTTATAACTTTGTGTTAAAGTTGTGTTGATGAGCTTATTAAAACACCTTGTTTTTTGGTGAGGAGTGCATGAAAAGTTTAAGTTTGTGACCCGAGTTTAGTTCTAGTGGTTTTAATTGTGACAGATAAAGAAAGTAGGAACCGCAGGTCAATGAAAGGTAATTTAAGGAAAAACATTTGATTTGTTTATCGTTGATGCTGTATGTACTTTTAACTCTACCACGAAGCTCCAAATTCACGTTTAGCAAAATACACACGCAGACACTTGAATTATTTACCGAGACCAAATCAGCTTTTCAATTCATCTTGGCAAAGCCCAGCTCTTATCTGGTGTGTAAAAAACATGAAGTGTGAAGCGTGAAGCCTCAGTAAATCTCAAGATTTATTTCAATTTCCTTCAGTCCCGCTGAGACGTGCAGTCAGCTCCCTGCCCACACACTCCTGCAGGCCAGTGATGTTTTTACAATATGTTCCACATGCATCTTAAATGAATTTGAGGGTACGGATATATAAACATGTTGATGGAAGCCTAGATTTGAGATAGCAGACACGGTGTTAATGTGACTCGCAGCCTTTTCGTCCCACTCTGAAGCACTTTCCAGGTCAATTTAGGGCAAGGTTTTGCGTTGTTTTTGTCCATTTTTGGTAGATTTTAGGGCAGAAAGCGGCTTTACATTGATGTGGTGTAGTACAGGAAACCATGATGTAAGACTTTCTATATAACATTCAATAGGACATAAAATAAAAGAGTTTCACGCTTTTAATGTATACCCTTTTTCATATCTTTTGTTTACTCATTTTTCATAGTTTTTCTTTATTTCTTTACAAATATTTTCTCCATCCTTTTTACTGGTCCTATATGTTGAGGTTTAAAATGGAAAAAATAAAGTTTGTATTGGCTTCTTGCTTCAATAACTGAGGATGTGTGACCCGTAATCTCATTCATAGAAGGACTCAGACATAAACACTCATCTTTAGGGGTCAGAGAGTTACAAAGATTAATCTGTCAACTGCTGGATTATGGCTGAGACTATATATGTGTGGGTGTGTTTTATTAATTGTGTATCTTTGTGAGGACCGTAATAGAGTTTAGAGTGAGGATGTTTTAACTGGTCGTCACTTCTTCAAGGGTTCATTGAGGCTTGAGACTTAAGTCACGGGTTAATTTCTGATCTAGAGCAAGGGAGTAAAGCTGAATTTCTTGTATTAATATGTCTGTCCTGTCTAGATCAGGTCAGTAAAGATCAACAACATGACCCTGCGACCCCCTGACAAACTCAGATTCTCTCTTTTTTAAATGACTGTACGTCTCTGTTTAAACTGCACACTTATAAACCTTTATGTGATTATGGTCAGTGATGCAGCTATATAATTATATATTTAATTTCCATTAAAATACAAACTAAAAAAAAAGTTCAACCATTAATTATATTCTGTAACCATTATTGTTCATACCATTATGGTTACACTAAGATAAAGTAGTTACAGTCAAACGATATCTTAATTATAGAAAACAATCAAATGAAATGTTTTAGCTATAGCCTTTGTTATTCACAGCTGCACATAGTGAGTATTTATGTCTGTTCTTTGAAAGAGGAGAATGAAATATGTTGCTTTTAAAGGATTAAGCTCTGGCTTTGTTGAATTTTAGGAACATCTGCCTTTCTTTTGGTGTAGACAATCTTTCAATTTAATTTTTGTTTTGGTTGTTTTGGTTTTGTGTCTGGCTGCAGCTGTGTCTACAGGAACAGATTAAAAGCATGTGAGTGCTTTTTGAAAAAAGAAAAGAGGGCAGGGTTTACGGTCAGAAACTATTCAAATTCATTCTTTACATTATCTTGATTAGTCCGCTCTTTCTTCTGGCACTTTTTAATAGAAAGAGTAATGCTCTTCAGAAGATAATTTAGATTTTTGCTTGAAGATTTTTATCACAGGCTGTGTCCAGTGTCCTGATACATAGAGAAAAGAAACTGTACAACATGACATGACATCCAAAACAATGTGTCAGATTGTGGTATAGTTTAGAGGATAAAGAGGATTTAAATTCAAAAATTTTATTTCAGTCAAAAAATTGTTGAAGGGTGCAATGCATTCAAATCAGTCAAATTATGTAATATAAAGAGCAAGAAACTCAATGCCATGTGGTAGAATTTAAAAAGGATTCAGTAATCCAAAGCGTTCTTGGTGGATAAACTTAAACTTGTATTGTTATCTTCCAAAATGCACACAGAACAGTGATATGAGAACAGTGTACAAAGAGTAGTTTGAGAGGGGCTAATGTTAGCTGATTGAGGTAATTACAACTTCGATTCTGTTCTTTATAATTTTCTTGAAGGTCTGCATTTTAACCATAACTCAAGATGTAATCTTGCAGCTTTGGTTGCTCACAGCTGAACGCAACTAAGCTAGGAACACTTAACTAGTGATGTTCCCATGCCTTATTTCCTAGTCGGTTAAGTGGAAATTTAAAGTTTGACTTACTACCTAGTTTCAAGGTAAGAAAACACTCAGAAAACAGTCAAATTTGACCATAATTTATTTTAAATTGTCTGCGGTGCAAGCACTGCAAGCCTTGGGTCCTCCCTGCAGGTCCATGTTAAATTTGATTAGGCATTTCTCCAGTCAGTATTACAGTTTAACCTGACACAGCCTGCACACATTTTTATCTCACTTTTCTAGATCAAAATACTGCAAACCATGCTGCTTCTATGATATATTATCCATTCTTAAATGTATGATACAATGAACATAATGTGCAGCTTGATGTGGTTCAGAAATTATGGTTTGAGCTGAATCAGTTAAGCCATTGTCTGTCATTTTTCTTTTGCCTCCATATGAATAGATGCCTGCAATTCTATCTTTTGGAAAGAAACACCTTCCTGAATATTGTTCATGTGAAAATGTAGTTTATCATCAGCCATCAACAAGGCAGCCATTCTTCTCTTGTCCCAGCTTTGTCACAGCCTCCAGCTCTTTGCCCTCTGGCTCAATCTCAATCCCCAGCCTGCAGATAATGACAACAGCTGTCCTTTGAGGCTTCTGTCCAACATCCCCCCCCTTAACTTCTCCCCCCGCCACCATCCAGACGGTCAGTCGGTCGGTGGGCACGTTGAGGCTGGGCAGGCGTCCATGTGATACACTATAAGACTGAGGAAAACCCCAGCAAAGGATTAACTGAGGAAAGTAGAAAACTGGACTGTCAGATAGAAATGACTTGACATTTACAAGCTTTGAAAACACGAGTTTAATCAGCTTCTTTCTTTAGGCAAAGATTTCACTTTTATACTTGAGATATCTACCAGATCTGGAAATTTCACGAGAGCTTTTTGTACTATTCTGTTCTCTTCTGACTAATTTGAATTTGTTGTAACATACTGTATTTGAGAGGGATGCTTTTAGGCACCAATCAGATCATGATTTGACATTATAGTTATAAGTAAGCTGTTTTCAGAGGTTTTGAGTTCTGAGTATAAGTCTAAGGTTGTAAATATGAACTTGATAAAAGACCCTGACTGGTTTCACCTGCATCTAATTAGCCTCACCCTATTAGAGTATTTAGTCTGTGGCTGCTTTCCAATATCCAAACATTGTTTTTAGTATACCTGACAAAACTCTGCTTTTTCCAATTAATATCAGTGAGATTCATCAGTGTGCCAAAACCAGGATTTCCTACTTTACCTGGCTGCATTGTGCAGTATAGAACACAACATGCTTTTTGGTTACTATGACACACAATCCTGTGCTTTTACTCAGTCCGTATGATGGTGATGCAACTATTGCTGTGCAGTCAGCATATTTAGACGGATGCTTTTTTCAACTTCATTAAGATTTCAACTACTTGATCCAGAGAGAATAACTGTTCTTTATAATATTTACTAAGCAGCTTAAATTGTAAAAAAAAAAGAAGAAGAAAAAAGAAGAAGTGACACATATTCAAGAAAGAAAGGAAAGATAAGAAAGGCCAAAACATTTTGGGGTCTGCAAAACAGGTAAAGTAGCTCCAAAACCGTATAAATAATTTTATAATTTTTGCTAATCTTTTTCAAATTAGTTTTCCTACAGTTACTAAGTGAGACAGTGCAGTAAGGTTTGCAGCAGATAAATGCAATAGAAGTATGAGAAAGAGGATAACAGATAAAGGCTCAATTTTGTACAACCCCATTGAATGCACAGTTATGCTGCAGTACAGACTGTATTAATATCAGGAGTATTAAATGTGATTTAAACACAGGTCTCTGTTTGCCAGTTTGTATTTCCCCATTGCATTCCCCATTTCTTTGTATTTTGCCTTTTTTTTGCGATACTTTTCCTGCTGTGGGATTTTTCTAATTCTTGCCTGCTCCATATTGGACTCGTGTGCCATGCTTTGGATTACCTTTCATGGATTGACCCTTGACTTCTCAACCATAAGCCTTTTGTAAATACAGTATCAGATCTGCTCCAGCTCTGGCTCTGCTGCCTCCTCTCCCGATAGTGTTCAATCTTCTTGTTTTTTCCTGCACGCTTGCACTAATGTGACACTTTATGTTCCGTCTGTTCTCTTTTCTAACCCCCTTTATTGGACATGCTCCTACACTCTAAAAAGAAACTCACCTTTTGTTTGTACTCTTTCTCCTTGGTGACTTTGGTGAGCAATTTGGCTTTCTGTCTTGTGAGGGCCTCGATCAGAGAGTCACACTGGGCCACGAGGCAAGCTTCGAACTCCACACCGCTCTCCTGAAACCACACACAAAAACACAAAAACAATCAGAAGGGAAACAATTACATAAAACTTCAAAAGGAAAGATAACAAGGAAAAAAGCTCTGACACTGAGACGTTCTATGTCATGGGCACAATTGTGATTTTGAGGTTTCCCAAAGTCCCCGCCATAAAGGTCTTTTTGTCAAAAATAATAAAAGTCACTGTGACTAAAATAAATCATCGGGTGTGTTTTGCTTCATTTAACAGCACGGAGCTGCTTTGTGTTTGTGACTGAAATGTTAATTACAAGCAGCATCTTGTTCTTTTTCTGTTTCCACCCCACAAACAGAGGAGTGTTCATTATTTTAATAGAGTGCAGAGAAAATAATTATCTTATTTACCATCTGTTTGCACACATGCTCTCCACCAAATTCCCTCCAGAAACAAACAGATGTAACACAACCTAACATTATAACACATGGCTAACACACCGTGTGCAGTACGGACACTTGTTGCAAAATCATCTCCTATGGCAGGTTTTTTCCACAAAATCGGACAAACTCACAACGGCACTGATGTTTAAATCACAGAGAAATAAGAATAATTAAGTCCTTTATTTTAGAGGACTCACTACTGAAGATATTCCTGCAGAACAGAAGTTGTGGAGTTAATAAGAGAAGCATCCTTGAGGGTATTTTATCTCTGCACACAGCTCACATGATGAGGTCTGAGATAAAAAAAACTGATTTCCAATCAAGCTTCCCTCTCAGAACGACACAGTTCAGATCTATAAGAGGATGACTCACAATCTTTTCTTTCTTTCTTTTTTTATCTGCCCATCTCTCTCTCTCCCGCTGTTTTGGCTCCCAGACGGAGCAAATAAGTGCTCCGAGTTTAAGACTCTTAATGCCTGCTCGTGCTGCTGTGGCAGACAAGATATGATGGAGCAGACTGTGTGTGTAGAAGTGTGCTGCAGGAGAAACTCCCCCCGACACACACACTCACACACACTTTTGGCTGATGTGATTTGTTTTAGTTTTGGTGACTCAGTGGATTTAACTCCCTGCTGCACAGCGTGAGGAGTCCAAATGTTTCTCTGACTGTAACTGATTTATTTGGAGCTTATAGCCCATTAGCAGCAGCTTCCCTAAAGCAGAGAGCAGTCAGTCTGAGAGAACATCAGTGTGGTTGTAAATTATGAACAGACTCTGCATGTGGAGGGAACTGATCAGACATGGGGGGAAGGCTTTTTGGACAATCTTGCACAGACAGACTTTAGTCCAGACAAGCTCATGAGGGTCCAGGGAAAATCTTTTTGAAAGTATGGAGATCCTGAGGCTGCAGAAATCCTGAGTGAGACATGATTTGCTGCAAGTTTGGAAACAACCGCTTTTCTTTTTTAGAACTGGTGTCTTTGGCCGGAGCAAATTTCAGCTAAACATCATCTGACTTCATAGCGCTGCATGTACTTTCTAATCTCTATCATGTTCTGGTTTTGCAGTTCCTGTACAATTAACCAATATGGGAACAATACAAACTGGACATTAGAGTCATGAAAGTGTTTTTTCTACTTCCAACTAGTGTGTGTGCTCCGAGACCGAGAGTCATTTAGGGATCGAGACCGAGTCAAGACCAAGACATACCCGAGACCGGAGTGCTCCGAGACCAAGACACTACCGAGACATTTAGGGATCGAGACCAAAACCAAGGCAGGGCGAGACTGAGACAAGACCAAAATCATAAATATTAATGAAAAATAATCATATTATGTTTAGGGTGCGTGTCACCAATAAGACTTGGTGAAGGTTGCAGCCGATACCGGGGGATAAAAATCTAATTATGAATGAATAAAAAGTTATTTGTCTTTTTAGGAAGGTGTGTTTTCCTTCGAATCAAAGTAATAATGTGGACAAATAGCTTGTCGGTGGTGGTCTTGACTGGTCTTCATTTAAAATCAGGAGTCCACCCAAGTCTGAGTAAAACTGTTTTCGATTCCGAGAGGAGACGAGACCTTCAAAAAGTGGTCTCGAGTACTACAACACTGCTTCCAAAATCCTCCTCAAGCTGTTCCTCCAGACAAATTTATGAAAAAAAGAATCCAGAAACAAGCACTTCCCTCGATGCATCGATACTTTACCACAAGATAAGACACATGACTTTATTGTCCCCTTGAGGAAATGTGTCTTTAACTGAAGTGCTACACACATTTAGCTGCTTTTACATTGGAATATTTGACTGTCAAAATGTCTCCGGAGTGTTTTTATTGGATTAAAGTCAGAGGTGGATTAACTCCTCAAATCCCTTATTACTGCATTTGTTTGTATGTTGCATATAACTTCAAAGATCCTGCATATATCTTGTGTTGTAGTTTTATAGATTGGCTAAAGAAATATATAAATAATATATCTGACAGAGAATGAAGTGTACAGGTGTTGTACCGTGTTGTTACCTGTATCTGCTGTAACATGTTCTTGAGTTGAACCAGGAACTCTTTTGCGTCTTTAGCTTTGTCTGAGACGCCGTTCAGGGCCTGGGACAGCTGGCACTGCACAGACACAGACAAAGACATTTAATATTAGAACATTTCAATACATTCAAAATGAAACTTTTCACATCACTCCAGTTCTATTTTCCTTATAGATACACATGTAAAATATTTTTATTTTAGCCCAAGCAAGTGAAAAGAAACAACAACAACTTTTATTCATTGAGCGCCAACAGAGACAGAGAAACTTCAAAACAGATGACATCGGCTCAGTCAGCTTTATAACCGTCCCAAACACAAGTCAAAAAGCTGGAGACATTTTCAACAATTCCTTCAACACTCCTTTCTCTGGGGATAGCCTAACCGTTATGTTGTGTTCATGTTATGTTGTTCCTCTTCACAGCGACCGTGGGTTTGAATCCGACCTCAGCCCTTTTGCTGCATGTCATCCCCTAGTCTCTAGTCTCTACTCCATCATTTCATGTCTCTCTTCAGCTGTTGTAACTACAAAAGATGGTGCATAAAAAATTCCTTTCCTCGTGCTTGTTTTTTAAAGTCGCAGTACTCCTCACCCTTTACCTGACTCTATTTCTTTATTTTTTTGGACACAAGGAAGAACATAATAACATGTAGGAGAAGAAAAGGAAATCACCAGCCATATCAAAGCTCAAGAATTCATTCTTAGGAATTCCTGACATGGCCTCCTAACAACATTAACTACACGGTCTACTGTATCTGTTAGCAGGCATTACTGTCACTCTGTGTGAAAGAGGCTCCTCTCCTGTAGGGCAAACTGTAAACCACCAGTACAACCAGTACAGCCAGTGCTGCACAGAGGCGTCTCCTAAGACGAGATGGTTATGTAATCATGTAACCAAACAGAACAGATCATTCTCCCTGAATGCTCAGATTAAGTTTGATCCTGTAGCCCCTCCAGCAGAATCACCAGGACCTCCTCCTCACAGGGTGAGACTCTGCATTGTCTTAATAATGGGGATTAACTTCATCTAGAGCAGATTGGGATCTAGATTAAAGACTTGGAAATCCATGCTTAGTGTGAAAATAGTTTCACTTGTTACTCTCTCCTCATGGAAAAAGAAACACTTTGAAATTAAAACAAATGTGGCCATTTTTAAAAAGCAAAATCTTAACCCTCGTAATGACCTCCCGATTGACCCCAGAGGACAACAGACGTTAGTAAATTCAATAAAAAAAAACCTAATTCAATCAAATTACCTCATATTTATTAGAATCTTGAAGAGCATAGTACTGAACAACCCCCATTATTTTCAGACCATTTGATGAATAAAAAACTTGTTTGACGGCAAAAGATTGAGTTTGGGGTCAGATTGACCCCAGGACAACAGGAGGGGACATTTAGTCCCAATACATTGGAACCAGTTTAAACCCATTTTATAAATATTTTGTGATCAGACAGCTCAGGTTTGCATTTGTTTCAAATGTTCATTGCAGCAGCAGAACATAGTTTGAGTTTGGGGTGTGTAGACTCCGATCTCATCACTCCTATCAGATTGTTTTTCACGCAGAGATTTGAGAAGGATGATTTCATATCTTCAGGCCAGAGTGGGGACTCTTGACTGTTGTCTAACTGTGTTTGTGTTACACTCTGTTTTCTGTGTATGGATGTTTTTTGGTGGGAATGTCTGTTTGACAGTAACGGCGCTGTGAAGAAGAATTTCCCATGGGGACAATAAAGTCTAAAGGATGGAGGTGTTGTCGGGCGACAACACCTCCATGTGGATAATGAGGAAGTGTGGACAACAGAAACATGAGGAATACAAAGGAGAAATCCTGCCTGCATCTTCTCCCACTGATTGATTGATTTACATCAGTGCAGCTTGAGTTATCTGCCTGAACTGCCTCGCAGGCGTCGCCCCATTAAACATCTTGGAAAATAAAAGCACCAGTTTTCAAAATTTTAAATCTTTAAAAGGAGCTTGTCACTGTGTCAAGGAGAACTTGTGTCTAATGTATTTGACGCTCTTTGTTCATTATTAAGCCTCTCCTAAATGGAGCACTTCACCCCAATTTTTCTGCCTGATTTCTAAAAAAACAGCCGCGGGGTTGTACTGTATATTAATAATAAAAGAGCCTCCATATCAGTATCAACAGCTGTTCAGATATTCTGTCTGCTACTGATATGGTACATGTCAGAATGAACACGGGGAGCTCTAATAACCCGTGACGTAATGTGAGTTTAAACGACCCACGTTTCATTCGGTTGACTGAATTATCTCGTCTTCAAACCGGTTACATTTCCAGACATAAAATGTGAGCGTGTGTGGGAGTCTCATTAACACCTACGACCCCTATAATATCACAACACTCCTAAAGAAGAGTCTGCTGTTTGGTTTCCATTTGTTTTTCTCATTTGCATGTTGATCTTGATCCTGCAGCTTCATGCTCAGATGATGAATAGCTGAGCTGACTGTAAGTGAGATAATTATCATGTCTAACCTCTGCAGTCCATCTCCGTCTCTGCATCTTTTAGGGGCTAGACTTAGTTTATACTTGTATGTCCAGCAAACATGAAAGGCTAAAATGTGAAATGAAAGCTCTTAGAAATACTTGACTTGACCTTTTTAAACCCAAACTGTTGTGCAGCTGTTTCTTCAGGTTTTCATGACATTTATAAAGTTCTTGGGGCGGCGCTGTAGAAAAGCCAATGACAATGTTCTCCTCAGTTTTAAAGGTATGAAGACATCTCCCCTGTGATGCAAGAGTACAATCATCAAAAGCATCATGTGACTGACTTTTTATCACCAGACTGGAACAGTCAAATGAATAGGACACTGCTTTATTTTTTTCAGTATGAAACTGATGAAAAAGGGGGAAAAAAACAATCCATACAGGACACATCATCCAACTCATTTGTTCCCAACCTGGGATCCAGGAAAGATCCAGGGCAGGGGGTGGAGAGGGGGGGCATAAGGATCTGTCTGATTTCAAATAGAGGGAGGGCTTTACGGGACAGGTTTTACAAAGGTCTTTTGGTGAGAACAGGTGTGTGTAGGTCTGTTCTGTCCGGTTTATCAATGAACAAAAATGAAGATTTAACAAGTTAATATGTCGGCTCTGTTATGACCTCTGAGGCTGACTTTGCCCAAACAAACTCTGCCCCTGCTATTCCACATTTAACACAAGAAGAAGAAGACAAGACAAGGTGTAACAGAGGGTGAACAGCGTGGCTAAACTGGTGATCTTAAACGAGCCAGACTAAGCCAAAAAGATGAGAAAAAGTGAAAACACGAATGGTCTTTAGTCAGAACGGTGCAGAGGACGAGACGCAGATAATAAAAACACCAAACACTCCCATTCTTCTCCTTAGTCACCGGGCAGCTATTCACATCAGATTCATAACCTCCGGTGTGTGTGTGTGTGTGTGTGTGTGTGTGTGTGTGTGTGTGAGCTTGCGTGAGAGAGTTTGTGTTTGTGTGCATTAAAGACAGGACAAAGGAAACAAACACGCTTACACACATGCCAGGCTGTGATGAATCTTCTCCTCTGTCGCCACACCCACCACATTTACCACCTGCTCCTCTTTCTGGACACACACACACACACACACACACACACACACACACACACACACACACACACACACACACACACACACACACACACACACACACAGAGCCAGAAGGCGATATGAAGCTGGCAGATCTCCTCTTTTGTTACCAGAAGTCATAAATATCAGCTGTGTTTGCTACAATGAGCCGAGGTCAGACACACGTTGGGATCATTAGATTCTTTAAGATAACTCAACTAAATATATTTTCACTAAATTTTAGACAAATGCTTTTAAAAGAAACAGAAACAGGGTGGTCATGATACCAGCATTTTAAACTTGTGATGCACTCGTAAAAGCAAAACCTGCTTCAATACAACATCAACACAAATAGAAATCCTATTGTATTTATTCGGGACAATGCAACTAAACACAGTTTGAAATACAAAGCATGAAACTGGTGTGCTGCATAAAGAGTATAGTAGAGAAATGTGGATGTGGGAAGAGAGGGGCGGAGCTTAGGGATGAAGGAGGTGGATCCAAAGACAGCTATTGTTTCGGTCTGAAAATCTGCTCTGAATACAGTTAGCCTTTAATGGGCATTGTGGAGCTACATCACTAAAAATATGAATAATTAGTTTAACTGACCCTTTGGGCCTGAGTAGTTAAAGTGTTGTTTTAGACACTGAATCCCACACATCTCATTCTCATTGATGAGTTGTCTGTTTCAGATGTTTTAATTGTAAGACAATAAGACTGAATACTTTATTATCCCCCCTACTGAGAATTACAGTTGAAAATTTCAAAGGATTATGAAGATGATGAATCAACATGCGCTTAATGTGTATTTAACAATTCAGGAAATGAACACAATGCTCACTTTGTTATTGTGATTATAATACATTTCCTCCCTGTGGCTATCTCCCATGGTTATATATAAAAAGGAAATCTCCCACCACACACAGTCAGCCCTCTGTGTGCATAATCGTCTCTCCACATCTCCACAATAACCACTCCACCCCCCACATACACACACACACACAGACACACACAGATCTTATCCTCATCCATCCCTCTTCCACACACGTGCTGTCCGGAGTCGGAGGGAGGGACATGTGGAGGTTATGGTTCACAAATCAATCCAACCCTTCTGTGGAGCTCCTCGCTGCTCCTCACCAAGAGGCCATCTGGCCCAGCAAGCTGTCTGGCCTGTTTAGGTTGTGTGTGTGTGTGTGTGTGTATGCATGTGTGTTTGCATGCCAAGATGCTAACAAGGGGATGACGGATGTGCCATACGAGGGCCGTCCTGGCACCTCCCCTCCTCTCTCGTTTGTTCTGTCTGGTTCTTGTTCATCAGGTCAAAGTTCTGACACACTAACACCCACCTGCCTGCTCCCACTGCTCGTTTGTTTACAATGGCAGACATCTTTTTTATTCATTCATTGAGGCTGCAGACAATCCCAGCATGCATTTCCTGTAGGAAGGTAGGTGGGTTAAGACCCTGAGGTAGATATACCTATATACCTTTACA